TGGGACAAATAGATCCAGTTATGAAGCAAGTTCCAGCATATATTCTATATATCAGAACTACATAGCTAAATGAAAAGTCATCTATGTGACTACCCACAGATATATGTGCCCGTAAGATTGAGATGCAATCATGGGATTACATATACACATCACAAGAGAGTACATATTACAGTGCAGGTATAGGGGAGACACCAAACTGCTTCAGTAAAAGAGAACAACAGCTTTCAGAGTTGATGGTGCTGCAGACCTTGTCTGGACAGGATTAACCTCCATCAGACAGCCACACTTCTAGTGTATTGACATCTGAACACTAGCTGCCACCTGCTTCTCATGGCCTGTGACAGTTTATGATGGCTCAAAATAGATTTGGTCCTCAGCTCTGATGTTGAGACTCAAGGATGTGTCAGGGTCAGCTGTGAGAGAGGAAGCCTTCTAATGCTGAGTGTGCTGTCTTCTGTAGCCCTGCCACTGCTAACAGGCAGGAGTGACCAAAATCCTGAGTAGGCCAGGTGTGGTGATGCAGGGCCAGGTGTGGTGATGCAGGGCCAGGTGTGGTGATGCAGGCCAGGTGTGCTGATGCAAGCCAGGTGTGCTGATGCAAGCCAGGTGTGGTGATGCAGGGCAGCTGTGGTGATGCAGGCCAGGTGTGCTGATGCAGGGAAGCTGTGGTGATGCAGGCCAGGTGTGGTGATGAATGCAGAAGAATCAGCAGTTTGAATTTAGGCCTAGACTATGTAAAAAGACAAAAAAAATCCAATCAAACTCGAGAATGAGAAACATAAGAACATTTGCTACAGAAAAAGAAGATCAGCTTCATTAACTAAAACCAAACATAATGTCCAAGGAAGTAAAGTACAGATTACATAAGAAACTGAACTGGTAAAAAGAGAGCACACAGGCCATAGGCCCCAAACGCTTACTACATTAGAGTGCTGAATTTGGCTCTAATTTTCCTGATTTCGTTCCTGTTTTGACAAAATACCCTGACAAAAGCCAGGGAGAAAACTTTTGTTTTTTTTCAATTCTAGGTAAGGCCTCTGCTGCTTGGTTTTTATTTCCAGCTTGGCACAAAGTAGAGTTTCCTGGGAAGTGGAAACAGGACTCTCAGTTCAGAAATTTGTCCATCTCAGACCAGCCTGTGAGCATGTCTGTGGGGCATAACTGATGCAGGAGGTTCCAGCCCACAGTGTGTAGTGCCGTCCCCTGACCAGTGGTTCTGAAAGACCTCCAGATCGGGGAGACTCTCACTCAAGTCTCGGGATAACACGACCCCCCCCCCCGGAACTCAAAAGAGACCGTCCTTGCTGCAATCACAGGAGGTTTATTGACAGGACAGGAACCAGTGCACTGGGGCCCAGACTCATAACCCACGCAGGGGAGGAGTTCGACCTTGAGTAACTGGGAGAAGGGGTTTTTAAGGGAAGAAACCACAACCCAGTTATCCAAAGGGGGTAGGGAGGGCGTCATAGAAAATTCCGAAAATACCAGCGATGATCACAAGGGGGCAACTCCCTGTTTTTCAAGATTATTCTCAAGATTATAATCTAGCTTTATCTTCAGCTAGTTCCTGAAACAGAGTCACTAAACTTAGATTTTTTGGCTCTATTTTTCCTTCTAGAGGGGTCTGGATTTATCCGGGTCTTTCAGTTCTGGTCTCTATAAAATGCCTGCTGAGCTCTGAGTCAGAAAACAGGCCCCTCCTCTCTCTGTTTCTCTTTCTCTCTCTGCTTCTCTCCCTTCTCCCCTGTCCCCTTTCCCTTTCCTCTCCATAACCCACTAAATAAATACCCATTTTCTCTGCATGGCATGCCTAATAGGCCTCTTTCTCTCACCTGCCACGCAGCTCCCTGCCTGGGACTGGCTGCCTTCATGGTCTGCCATGGTCTTGTGCCGGCTGCCCACTGCCACCCCTTGGAGACCTGCAGTGTTTTACCACAACATATGGTGCTCGTGACTCAGTCAGGCTCTCTCCACGTTTCCTCCAGTCCTCAAGCAGGCCAGCTAAGGACACATAGAACCCTGGGCTTAGGAATCTGGTTTCTTCACAACAGCTCTGTGCATCCAGTTTTGTTCATGGCTTCCGGCAACTGAACTCAGGTCATCAGGCTTGCTCAGCAAGCAGTTTAACTCACTGAGCAATTCTCCGCCCCTTCATCTAGATTTTTTTTTTTAATTATACAAAGCATTCAGAGCAGGATCTGCAGTCTCACTGCATTGTGAACGATAAAGCACACAGAGAGTTCAGGGATGGATGGGAAGACCACGTGATTCTGTGATGCTTTTAGCCTGGGTGTATTTCCCTGATCTGCAAGGTATCAGTACTTCCCTTTGGGGGTGGCTTGCAAACTGAGAGAATCCATGCACACGGAAGCATCGTGAAAGATGGAAGTTATCTGTACACTTTGGTTTGGGCTTTGGTTACCATGAGGAGTAAGTTTACTCCATTTGCAGAATTTAAAGGCTAGATAATACAATCTTACAGCTGCCATTTCTGAATCTTATGAAATATTTTATCCATAAAGTGACAATAAATATGGCACATACATACATACACACACACATACACACACACACATATGTATTGGCAGAAGACACAAGACTTTCTTCTTCATTTTCCTTCATTTTAGCCTCTTTGAGCTAAAATAATAAAATTCTGTAAAACTTTGTAGATTAAACTGATTTTCTGTTCTTTTTTATTAGTTTCACTATTCTGCTAGCTCTTTCCTATTTAAAATGTCTGATAATTTTATATACATTAATTTTAGACAAATAAGCCTGTTAACCAGACCTGTAAATCATGTACTGACATTTGCCATGTACTAGAATTTAATGCAAAATACCACACTGTATTGTATTTGCTCAACTTTCAGGAAAATTTAAAATTTTTTGTTGTTTTTGTTTTTTGGGGTTTTGTTGTTGTTTTGTTTTGTTTTTTTGAGACAGGGTTTCTCTGTAGCTTTGGAGTCTGTCCTGGCACTGGCTCTGTAGACCAGGCTGGCCTCAAATTCACAGAGATCCACCTGTCTCTGCCACCCAAGTGCTGGGATTAAAGGTGTGTACCACCACCTGACAGAAAATTTTAAATTTATCTGGTGGATAATATGAAACAAGAAATAAAAGTTTATTTAAAAAATTTAAATTCAAGCAAAGCTGAAGTTTATTCAAAGAGGAGTGAAGCCCAAAGTGTTAGGGAAATCATGCCTAGGAAAGAGGCGTGTTGGAGAGATGGTTCAGTGGTTAAGAGCACCAGCTGCTCTTTCAGAGGACTCAGGTTTAACTCCCAGCATCCATAAGGTGGCTCACAACCTCTGTAACTCCAGTTACAGGGGATCTGATGACCTCTTCTGGCCTTCAGGGGTACCAGGCACATACACGGGAAACAGACATACTTTAGAGCAAAACACCCACACACATAAAATATAATAATAAAAACATTTTTTAAAAGAAACAATGATAGAAAGAAAGAAAAATCAAAGTTACACGTGTCTGAGCAATTGAGAAAAATAGACTTACGAAACTTCAACTTCGTGTCTGAGGTTCTATAAGAGACTACACTATGAGGTGAGACTTCCTGAGAAGCAAAGGTACAGAATCTCATCAAAGGATAATTATTCCACCTACCTCTCTAGGGTGGCCTCGCGTGAGGCTGCCTTCCTAGAAAATGAAATGTGTGACTGATTTAATCACATTGTTTCTGCAGTGTGGCGACTATGACTTATGTCAGAGAGTCTCTGGGCAGAGGCAGCACAGTTCCACAGGGTACATATACAACAGAGACCAGTGGGACCCTGAAATCATCGAGAGCCGCAGGAGACAGAAGAAGGAACCTCCCAAAGACGGAAAAGCTGAAGAGGAAGAAGAGGAAGAAGAACAAGAAGAGGAGGAGGTAATGTCTCAGGGTGGTCATTACCACATGACACCTTTGGAATCTTTTATGACTAAGTGACAGCCAGGGGAATGGCAGGTGCCAGAGAAAATGAAGGTTTTGTATATATATATATATATATATATATATATATATATATATATATATAGTGTCTGGAGGAGATTGATAAAAATACCTCATGTTTTCGGAACTATTTGAATTTTAAAATACATCCATCATTAAAAAGTAGTATATATTGATTACACAGAACAATGGGTTTTGTTTTGACATTTTCACACATGAATACAATGTTCCTTGACCACGCCTACCATCCCCATCTTTCCTATTTGATGACATCACCCCTCCCAATGGTCTTCTCTCCATCCAAATACTCACCTTTCTATTTCAGGTCTGATTTATGTTTTTATCCAGTTCTACACATGAGAGAGAAAACCATGCCGCTTTTCTTCCTGAGTGTAGCTATTTCACTTAGCACGATGAGGGGCTCCAGTTTTATTGCAACTGACATACTTGCACTCTTTATGGCAGAAACATACTGATGGGTTTGAAATATTATATATATAATAAAATATATGTGTATATGTATTCTAAAAACATGCACAGTACATTTTCTTTGCCCTCCACTAATAGGTGACCACATGGGCCGACCCCATGAACTTGGCTCTTGAGAGTAGTGCTGTAACAAGCACGGGTTGCAGGAACCTTTTGCACACTGACTTTGATCTCGTTGCTGTAGAAACCCACATGTGGCACAGCTGGATCATGCAGTCATTTGAATTTTAGTTTCCTGAGGAACTTCCACATTGCTTTCCATAGTGGCTAGACTAACTTACATTTATTTCCACTAAGAAAACATAAAGGTTCCTTTTCTTCTGCATCCCTGCCAGCAATTTTGGTTGTTTATTATCTCAATTATTGAGTTGGGTGAGATGGAATCTCAGTGTAGTTTTAATTTTGATTCTCAAGGTCAATAAGATACACATTTTCATGTATCTTCCCCCTTTTATTTATTTATTTTTTGAGACATGGTTTCTCCGTAGATTTTTCTGGTTCCTGTCCTGGAACTAGCTCTTCTAGACCAGGATGGCCTCCATCTCACAGAGATCTGCCTGCCTCTGCCTCCCAAGTGCTGGGATTAAAGGCGTGCGCCACCACCACCCGGCTCTTCCCCCTGTTATTAAACATAGATTCTTTTTTCATACAGTATAATCCAAATACAGTTTTTCTTCCATATATGTCTCCCAGCTCATCCCCACATCTGGGTCCTCTTCCTTCTGCCTCTCATTAGAAAAGAATAGGCTTCTAAGAGGTAACAACCAAACATAACAAACTATAATCAGGTGAAGTTAAAATCATATCCAAGTTGGACAAGACAAGCCAACAGAAGGAAGAACCCCATATGAGGCACAAGAATCAGAGACCAACTCATTCACACCCACAGGAGTCCCATAAAAACACTAACCTGGAAGAGAGAGTGCGTGTGTAGAGGAGCTGGTGCAGACCCCTGTAGGCCCTGTGATTGCTACTTCAGTCTCTGTGAGTTTGTGCTGAGTTGTTTTGTGAGTTTGTGCTGAGTTGTTTTAGGGCCCCCCTTCTCCTGGTGTCCTCCATTCCCTCTGCCTCTTACTTTCTATCTTTCTGCCTCCTCTTCCGTGGGGTTCCCTAGGCTCGGAGGGGAGGATTTGAAGGAGATATATCTCATGTAGAGCAGTGTGTTTCAAGTTCTCTCTTGGAGATGATGCCAAAAGGAAATCCCACACTAGCTCAGAATTAAGTATAATAAAGGGTTGTTTATTTAGGGGTAGACTCACAGATCACAATCCTCTGCTCTAACGGGGAACAGGAACCGAATCCAGCAGCCGGAAGAATGAGGGAATGAGCACTTTACATCGGCATTTATAATATAAGAGACCATGCCCAAGTGGGCGGGTAACTTAAAGGATTTCCTACAGCACACACTCTCTCTCTGTGTCTGTGGGTCTCTCTGTTCCCTTCTGCAGCAGGAGGAAGCCTTTCTGATGATGCTGACAAGGCACCGATCTATGAGTACAGGAGAATGTTATTAGGGGCCATTTTATTGTTACCTTCTTATTTTAGACCAGAAGTATTTGGTTTTATACTAGGTTCTCTGGGCTGTCTAGACTCTGGTTCTTAGTCACCCAAGCAATGTTAGATATGGGTTCCACCTCATGGGGTTCGTTTCTTCTAAAAGGTCTGTGCCACAATTGCCCTAGCATATTTTAGAGGCGGGACAGATTGCAGGTCAGTGGTTTTATTGTTGGGCTGCTGTTTGGTAGCCTGCAGAGTATCTTTCTGTGTCATTGACAATGGTACATAGGCGTGAAAGTTCTATGTAGGCGCCAACTTGATCTCTCCATGTTAAATGAGCTGTGTGGCTGTTGTCAGCAATGGGACCTTACTGTCAGTCATACTTGGCCCTAGAGGGTAAGGGTGGCCTGAGCCACACTGGAGATCCTGGATGACCTGAGAGGTTAAGGTCTGAAACTGGGGATGGTGTGACAGAGAGGTGGAATCAATAGCATCTAAAAGGGGTGATTTTAGGGATGCAAGGACCTTGAGGAGCTTTGAACTATTTTGACTGTGTCTATACCTAGGGTTTGAGAGCATGGGGTGTGTCCTCTCTGTATTTCCATCATTCTTGATGTGCAGCTGTTATAAATGCTGCCATAAAGTTTATCAATGACCTCCATCTCCCACCTGGAATGCCATGGGTTCTTAATACGATACAAAAGATTCCCAAACCTGCATAAAAGGTAGAATGCCTTCCTGAATATGTACCATGCTTCCACCCTACCAATAAGGACAGCCTCCAGAAGCCTTTGGCTAGCATCCAGTAATCCCTAGTTTGATCACAAAGGAAGCAAACATAGGTGGTACAAGGACAAGAATCTCCTTTTTGCCTCCTGCCGGTGGGCAGTCTTCAGATTCTGCCAAGCAAGGGGTCAGACTGAACTGTTCTGTACAGGTTTCCTAAACCTTTGGGATCTTAACATAACAATGACATCGTGGAGAAAGAAACCGGAAACGGTTTTCATGCCCTCAGGTTACTGTCTCACACTTTCACAGCTTGTGTTTGGAACACTGGCTTTCACCCTTTCCTACACCCTCAGAACTCACTTAAGCCTTCACATTCTCAGCCTTTGTAACACTTCTTGTACCGTCAGAACCTAGGGTATAACCATCTAACTATTTACCAGAGACACGAGTAATATTATTGAGAGCAGTCCTTGCTGAGCTAGTTCCTTTAAATCCATGGTTCTCAACCTTCTTAATGCTACAACACTTTAATACAGTTCCTCGTGTTGTGGTGACCCCGGCCATAAAATCATTTTATTGCCACTCTATAACTCTAATTTTGCTAGTGTTATGAATCATGTAAAGATCTGATATGTAGCCCTAAAGGAGTCGCGACCCACAGGTTGAGAACCTCTGCTTTATATCCTTTTGTTTTGCTCTCCTTTCTCTCTGTCACAGTTAGATGGCAAACCTGACACAAGACAGAGATTTGGGAGGACACCTTTAAGCGAACATGCTTGGCTCTAGAGGAGGGGGAGTCATAACTCCAGAGCCAGCATTCCAACCAAACAGAACAGCGTAAAACAACTTGAATATTATCCACATTCAAAAGACATTCAAATCCCTGCTAAACTGAATCTAGTGACCAGAAAGCCCAGAGATCAATTCTGAGCACTTGAGCACTGGCCATCAAAGCCACCATGGCCATTGACATTAGCTGTGGTGGCTGGTGCCTGGCAGTAGCAGAGAACGCAACAACAAAACCAATGAACATAGAACACAGACGCTCACACACTCAAAGGAGGCCAGTTCAAACCCAAACATGTGGTGTCCCCCAGCTTTCACATGTTCTACATAGTGTGATCCATTTCTGTCTCGGCTCCCTGCCAGTGGCCAGCTCCGGAGGTTGACAGGTTCCAGAGAGGAGGAAGGAGGGTGCTCCTTTATTTATACAGAATTTAGTAAGCAGGGATAGACTCTTCTCATCTCTGTTCCCAGACATGTGTTTAACTTCCTCTTGTGTATCTTTTAGTCATCTCTGGATAACACAGCAGAGTTACCTTTTACAGTCATTTTTCCTTATCAACCCCATAACCCAACTTCTAGGCAGCTCTTGCAGTTTCAAGTTTGCTAGAAAGGAAATCTCCAGCCCAGCCCAGGCAGATTTCCATGTCCCAAGCAGTGTATTGTTAACCCTTTATAGTCAGAGTGCCCAAGAAAAATCCTCAGGCCAAAGCTGCTGTGGTTATCATTCAATTTCTGGGCTAATACAATGTTTACATTTTATATCATTATGGAATTTATTTCCATTTATCTAATTCTGGCATTCTTTGGCTCCTTGGTCACATGACAGCACAGTGGCTTTGCAGGAGCTAACTTTTCTAAGAAAGGGAGGTCCTGACACTTCATTCTTTTATCAGTTTTTACCCTGTTCTTTGCCCATCAATATAAGCCCCTGTGTGGCGCAGAGGGAACTCCAGCCAATCTAAATTTGTTGCCGATATGCCACACAATCGCCCAAGCATAGAGGAGAAAGAGACTCGTACTTTGTTCTGATTATCTTGTTCCTGAGTGAGTTCAGGGGCAGATGTTTCAAGAATAGCTCAGAGCATCATAAAGGGGCCTCTGGCTTCTTTATGTGAGTCACAACCGCAAAGGCACAAGGAAGACTTTCAAGTAGATAAGAATATCTCCCTAAAAGCAGGAGGGGAACTATGTTCAGGACTTTCCTTGGGAAGTTTAGAAGCTGTACTCCTGGGAGAAGGCATAAATGATTCATAAGAATTTTTTTATCAACCCAATATCTTCAAGTTATACATGTATTAAAACCTACCAAGTAGTAACTTGCAAGATTCAAAACCAAAAGTAGCATGGTAGCCAGGAAGAATGCACTTTGCTGCAACTGTGCATTCATCCAACTTCTAAACACACTGTGCCTTTAGGGAGGCTTCAGAATTGTCTTAAAGTTCTACATCCTCAGTGCAGCCTGTCAGTATTGTATAGGAAGCTCCTGAACAGCGCTTCTGATTTAGTAGGCATGCCAGAGCTGCTCACTGGATGAGTGAACGCATGGACCACAAGCTCGGGTGTTCAGGGACTCCAGTTTCCCTCTACCTCAAAAGAGATGGCTTTTCTCTCAAAGAGATCCTTTCCACTGTTCTGCTTATTGAGAACAAAAAAAAATAGCAAGAATCAAGTTGATTTAAAGTTCAGTTTCCAATGAAGACACCCAGGAGTGCTCCTTCTTTAACATCTAAGGTCTTCAGTGTCCATCCTTCCTCCGAAGTGTCCAAGATGGTGTTCTGAGATGCCCCTCGTAGGTTAGATAATAATTTCCCTAAAGATTTCAATTCTGTCTCTCCCTTCTATGTTACCCCTCTTAGGCATTTATGGCTGAAATGCAGGTGGTGGCCGAAATTCATCAGTACCTGGTTCAGAGACCTGAGGATTTCCTGGAGAACATTGAAAATACTGTGAAACTATATAAGGACATCCTTCTTAGTGCTTTAGAAGTAAGAATGGGACATTGCTAAAGTGGGAATGTTGACGCTTGTGATTTGTCTTTGATGAAAGACCTCAGAAAAGGCTGTGACCTCCACATCTCTTCCTTTTTTAAAGGTGTACTTATGAGAGAGAGAGAGAGAGAGAGAGAGAGAGAGAGAGAGAGAGAGAGAGAGAGAGAGAGAGAGATTGCGTGTTTATGTCCACATGTTTTCAGGAGCCTGTGAGGGCCGGAAGAGGGTACAGGAACCTGGGCTGGAGTTGCAGGCCGTTTTGAGCCACCACATGGGCAATGGGAACTGAACTCAGGTCCTCCACGAGAGCAGCAGTACTCTGAACCACTGAGCCATCTCACCAGCCCCCAAGTCTCTTTTTCTCCCATCCATGTTATTTTACTCCTACAAAGCACCTCTGTGCGTCTCAGGATACATTAAATACGTTTTTCAAAAGTCACTAGGCTGTTTACAGAGAAGGGGTATGAATGTGGACCTCACCAACAAGGCGAAAAGTTAAAACAGATCCCGTTCTTCAACTCAGTTTGTCAGACTGCAAAAGCTAAAATAGACAGTGATGGGGGAACGAATGGACATTCCCTTTCTGTGACTGCAGGAATGAATGGACATTCTCTCTCTGTGATGGGGGAACAAATGGACATTCTCTTTCTGTGACGGCGGGAATGAATGGACATTCTCTTTCTGTGATGTCAAGATTGAATGGACCTTCTCTTTCTGTGATGTCAAGAACGAATTGACTTTCTCTTTCTGTGATGTCAAGAACAAATGGACATTCTCTTTCTGTGATGTCAAAAACGAATGGACGTTTTCTTTCTGTAATGCAGGGAATAAATGGACATTCTCTTTCTGTGCTTGTGAGACTTTTGAATTATACAGTCTTTCAGAAAACCAATAAACAATGCCAGCTAACATTAAATTCTTTTAGAAACCTCTCCTTTTTCAGTGTCTGAGGCTATAGTGAAAAGACACTCAGCAGGTGGTGTCCAGGGCGTGTATTGTGTAGTATTTATGTCAATGAGGAGGGCACAGAATAAAAAGGATGAAGACTGTGGTTGTTGTACGTCCAATTACTTTGATAATATGTTTTTCATTTTAAAAGTAAGTAGAAGCGATTAGCAAGCTATTATAATCTACTTAAATGTGAAATAGCAGAGGAGTGTTGAGTGAGAGCGGTAGCCATGCAATGGAATCCTGTACAACCGTGAAGACGTGATGTGGGCACGAACTTGTAAATATATAGGGGAGTATTAGTTATAATGTTTCATGGGAAAGTAGGCTCCAGAGTTTCATATACATTGTGATCTCAAATATGCAAAATATATTTTTCACAGATTAAAAGAAGGATGGGAATTAGTAATAGCTATAGTTTCCTTTCAGTGCCTACATTAAAGATGTTTTTCTGGTTGGGCCGGGGTGGCGCACACCTTTAATCCCAGCACTCGGGAGGCAGAGACAGGCGGATCTCTGTGAGTTCGAGGCCAGCCTGGTCTACAAGAGCTAGTTCCAGGACAGGTTTGAAGACAGAAAAAGATGTTTTTCTTTGTAATCTTCTGTTCTATTTAAAAACGTGTGCTCTACAATAATAAAAGGTGCAGCATGCTGCTTAGATGATCCTATTATCTAGATGAAGGAAGTACATGATTTAAAGTTAATCAGCTTTCTCTGTAGCATCAAAAATAGCAAAGCTGCAGTTATATGCTGCAAAATGCCCCCAAAACCTTTTGTATTGGGAAAGACTTTTAAACTTTGGGAAGCAGAAAATGAGGGGGGGGGGAGGACAGCAGCAGGGGCTGGAGGTGTAGCTCAGTGGTCGAGCAGTAATCTAGTCTGCAGATCCTCAGCACCTCAAGCAAAATTCATGCTAAAAACAGAGCAAGGTAGCTCTGTGCTTGCAAAAGATCTGCCCAGTGCTGAAAATGACATGCTTTATAACCAGCACAAAGTGAACTAATTAGCTCTTAAGATTTCCTATTTGCTATTAAGATTTTTATCTGGCATTCAGCTTCCCCCATGATCCTGAGTTACCAGGTTTCTATTTGGTTTTCTCCAGGAGCTAATGGCTGAGCACAATCCCCAGTATCTCATTGAGCTGGATGGGAATAAGTCCCCCGAGGAGCACTTCACGGTGAGTGCGGGGGTGGGGGGGGCTCTCAGCACAGATGTCTTGCAGTTGGACGATTCCCAAATCTTCCAGAACTGTACTTGTTTTGTTCTAAACTCTCCTGAGAGTTTAGAACCGTTAATCTTTTCGTCTTGACACTTTAAAATGCCATGTTGCATTTATTCATCTGTTCATGTTTAAGGCAAAACTATATTTGAATTTAAAATTTCTCTGTGACCACTGTGTCTTTTCCAAGAAGAGAAAAAGCAAATGGCAGACGGAAGTGGGGGATGGGAGACTGAACATCAGTAGTCATTAAGGGCATGCAGCTGAACACCGAGATGGATGCCACTTCATGCACACTATGATGGCCAGAGATTTTTGTTATGAGATTCTAGGTGTAATACCTAGCACTATGGATTAATGAATAACTCAAAACACGATAACTATTTTCTAAATCTCCTACGTTTCTGGCATAATGATGAGCTCTAGGAATGCATTATGGGAAGGACGTTGATGAATCCATGAACGACTCCCATTATACAGCATCCAGTATATTGAGGAAAATACATATACAAGTGGTAGTTTGTGTTATAGTTAGAGACGTATCATTCTAGATAAGTTAAGGTCATATTTAACTAGAATGTCCTAGTCCAATAAGGACAGCCTCAGTCAGAGAGGCAGAAGGTAACAGTGTGGCAACAGAGGGAGAGGGTAGAGACCGGAGTCATGCATACAGAAGACAAGAAACACCAAAGGGCTGGGGCTGGGGCTGGGGCTGGGGCTGGCGCTCGGTAGGTTCCGAGCATGTTTAGCATGGGTAAAGACCCAGCTTCCATCTCCTGCACTGCACAAAGCAGACGTTATGGCATGTGCTGTAGCCCCAGCATGTGGGAGGCAGAGACAGGCAGTTCAGAATTACAAAAGCATCCTCAACCACATGTCAAATTCAAGCACAGCCTGAGATACATAAAATGTTGACTCAAAAGAGAAAAATATTTTTTTTAATTTTTTAATAATATGAAAGATCACTAGCAATGCATAGAAGCTAGGAAAGGGATGTATGAACTTGTCTAGGCTGGACCCCAACAGATGTCATCCCAGAGTGTGGCTTGCGACAATATTCAAATGTCTGTTCTTTATATTTAGACAGTCATAGAACGGCTGAAATACCTGAATCTTAGAAGAGCCGCCGTTATCACCAAGCTGCAGAGTACAGAAGAAGAAATGAATGACATAGTAGACACGGTGAGCTCAACTGGCCGATCTAGAAACATGTCTGTTCTGTGTTATCTGTGTCCTTAGCCCCTAACTCTTAAAATCTTAAGGTCTAAGAGGATACCTCTCCATAAAGATATCTTCTTCCAGGAAGAAACTATGATCTCAACACAGTATTTTTTGTTTTGTTTTGTTTTGTTTTGTTTCGAGACAGGGTTTCTCTGTAGCTTTGGAGCCTGTTTTGGAACTTGCTCTGTAGTCCAGACTGACCTTGGACATGAACTTGAGAACATAAAAAGGAGCTGGAGAAATAACTCAGTGGTCAAGAGCAATAGTTACTCTTCCACAAGGGGGTCAACAGCCATTAGTAGCTCCAACTCTGGGGATCCGAGGCCTCTGGCATCTTTAGGCACCTGCACTTGCATACACAAACCCCTGTGTGTGCACACACGCCTACACATCTTTAAAATTAAAATACGTTCAGTATTACTGATGGTGGGGAACTGGCAGTCCAAAGCCTAGTGATATCCCGTCTCACATGAAGAAGAACATTACGTAATGTGTTAGCGAGCGTGGGAGATCATGGAACTCTTTGGCATTGTTGCTTGGGATATTGAATGAACTCAGATTAGGGTTCAAAGGGGACACTGAGAATTAACAGGAATTAAGAAGTTTATTACAAGAATTACTAGTGCCATGGACAGACAGACAGAGAACAGTATAGTCGGGACTCTGAGGGAAGAGCAGGCTCCATTGCCAGAGATAGCATGGTGGACTCTGGAGAGAGTAAACCAGGGCTTAGGGGCAAAAGCAGGAAGGAGTCTCTTCTTAGATCTTCCTGAGAATGGGGGAGGTCTCAGAGTGCACACTGATAGCAGGGCTCTCGATTCCTAGGAGGCAGGGAAAAGGTGCAGAGAGCAGGATGTGTGACCAAATATCCCTTTGACATAAACTCAGTTCCAAGTGGGAGACCCTGGTACCTGGAAGTCTATTAGGTGGAGAGGTAAAGCCAACATCTCGGTAGGGTGCCTGGGGGACTGTACAGGGGGGAGGCAGCTGCGGGTGCCAGGCCTGAGCAGGAGGCACACTCTAGCGCAGTCTTATGTAATACTACAGATACAAAATGGTCCCCTGCTTCTTAAAACAGCTGAGTGGTTCCTCAGAAAAGGATCCAGTAATTTACTCTTAGACATTTCCTCCGAGCAGGAATGCAAACAGAGTCAGGAAAGTTATTGTCAAATCGCCAGAAGGTGGAACCCTGCAGCATCCATCAGTGAGGGAGTGGTTGAGAAAAAGTCTATGCACACAGAGTGGAATACTGTCTGGCCCTGAAAAGCTTTGAGCCAAGTGTGACGGTGCACATCTGTAATCCCAGCACTTGGGAGGCAGAGGCAAGCAGAAGTCTGTAAAGTCAAGGCCAGCCTGGTCTCAAGAGCAAGTTCAGCCAGGGCTACATAGTGAGACCCAGTCTTAAAACAAAGAGTTTGAGGCCAGCGTGGTCTATGGAATGAGTTCCAAGACAGCCAGGGTTGCACAGAGAAATCTTGTCTTGAAAAAACAAGAAATAACAACAACAAAAACAAAATCCAGAAGCAGAAACAAAACAATCAACCAAACAACAACAGAAAACAGCTTAGACCCGGATTCATTCATTAACTGTAGAGTCTGGCACATCTTAAAAGTTGATCAGTTGGATATTTTCAGATGCGGAATATATGTAGAGCTGTAGATGACATTTATTACCACATGAGAGAAAATTGTAGGGTGAGCTGTAGGCTGCGTTCCTGCCGCCCGGCTCCTAGCCGCCAGCTAGCTTATGCTCCAAAATAATTACACGGAAACTGTATTCATTTAAACACTGCTTGGCCCATTTCTATTAATGTGTGTAGCACCATGAGATGGTGATTTACCAGGAAGATTCTAGCCTACGTCCATCTTGGGTCGGAGCTCCATCGTGACTGCTCTGGAGAGGGGAGGCATGGCGTCTGAGCTCACTTCCCTTCTTCCCAGCATTCTGTTCTGTTTGTTCCACCTACCTATGTTCTAACCTATCAGGCCAAGCAGTTTCTTTATTACTTAACCAATGAAATCAACAGATTGATATATGGTATTCCCACATCAGAAAATTATCTGTAAAATTCAAATAAGATTTGCTTAATGAAATGACAACTGGATGGGAGAGATAGCTAAAGTGATTAAGGCATTTATCACCAAACCTGATAACCTGAGTTGAAACTCTGAAACCCGCGTGATGGAAGGAGAGAACCGATAGCACTCTGTTCACACGCGTGCACGCGCGTGTGCGCGCACACACACACACACACACAGATGTAAAAGAATTTAAAGCTAATCTTATTAAATAAACCTTGAATGAGTACAGAAACTAGAGCCAACATGTGTATTCTAAATTGTGCTTTAGTTAAGTACTAGCAAACAAATAGGAACTGTCCGGTCCCGCTGCTGTCAGCAGAGCCGAGGCTCACGTTCTGAGGTAGCATCTGTGCTTCACAGGAAGATCTGTTCCGTACACTCTCATCTTACAAACTCATCGCGCCACGGTACAGATGGTGCCGCAGCAAGTGGGGGCGTTCTTGTCCCATGGCCTTGAAGGATGGGAACATTTATTCGGGATCAGCCGATTATTCTGTGAGGTTAGTAAGCTTTCTAGAGCCTACATTTTAAACCTGCCCATGATGCTTTCTGTCGTTTACTCTTATGGGTGTATTTTAAGTTTTCTAGGGAAAATGTACTGCCTTTCTTCTGAAGAAACACTAAGATCATTTTCGCTGAACCCCCGTCCCTGCCTTCTACCACCTATGCCCATCCCGCCATGTAAAATCTTTGTATTTGGGCCTGTCAGCTCAGGGAAAACAACGCTGTGCAACCTGATTGCAGAATACTTCAAAGGCAAGGTAACTATTTGTCTAGCCATTGTTTTAGCTGTAGAGTTTTGCTGAACCTGATACTTGTACTGGGGTTGCTGTAGCAAAGGCATCTCCCCACTGTCATGGGCTCTTCTATCTGCAATCCCGCCATGCTTCCTACAGCCCCATATCTCAGCCCCCATCTCCTGAGTCATCTCCCCCTGGGTCCATCCCACTGCCCTCCACCCCCAGTTTCAGGCCTATATTCATTCTTGGTGATTCTGGTACCTGCAAATACTGTTCTCACAGCATCCTAGCCTGTCGGCACCTTTCCCTCTCCTCTCCCGTGATCTTGTCTCAACTCTAAAATGTAAGGAAATTATACTTAACATAGCAGTAAGGCAGCTAAAAGCAGGCGGGTTTGGACTATAACTAAAGGTAAAGACAAAAGATTTAATATAAGTTGGAACCTAGAGAAGATCAGTGTGTGGAGAGCGCTCCCTGTGACACCAAGCTTAGCAGAATGGCGGGGTGGTCAGGGAAATCAGGTGAGTTCTGAGAGCGTTCAACACGCAGCCGAGGGAAGGACAACGTTGTCTACTTGTTCTTAACTTTTTTATTATGAAATACGAAAAATGAACAGAAAAGAGAAACGAATAGAATTTTCATAAAAGTAAATCCCCATATTACTGACCACTCAGAGTAAATACAGAATATTCTCTGTGCCCACAAGTATTCTTCATGTTTCTTCCATGTCCAAGTCTCTACACACCCCACATGTCCCAACGAGGTAACTACAAGTAGCTAACTTCCACCCTCTTGTAGTTTTAATATGGAAGCATATATCCAATGCCTTAGCTTAGTTTTATGTGTGTTTTTTTTAAACTTTATGAACCTACTTTATATCCTCTATGCCTGGTCTTCAGCGAACACTATGACTGTAAAAGTCACCCACGTCACTACTTGTAGCTAGAGTTCATTCATTTTGTTCTTGTTTTATTCTATTGATTGACTATAGTTTGGAAACAATTGAATATTTGGAAAAAAACTTGGGCTTATTTCAGATTAATGCATTATAAGTAATTCTCATAAACATTCTTGTATGAGTCTCTTGCATACACGTGCATAGCCATGCTTTGGAAATCTGTCTAACAGGACTGTTGCTGGGACTTGAAACTATGTGTGTATGGTCTTTCAGTGTGTATAGACAATCCCAAACCAGCTCTGCTAACTTACACACCCGTGAGCTGACTGTAAGGCCTGTTATTCCATCCCTGTGACACTTGTTTGGGGGGATCTTCCTAATTTTAACTACTCGAGAGTGTCTGGTGATATCTCATTTACCTAATACTTCGGAAAGTTGGATATTTTCATGTTTATTGGCCATGCACACATTGGCTTTCAAAGTGGGTGTCCACCTATCTTGCCCATTTTAATGTACTTCTTATATTTTAGTAGTTTCTCAGGGTTCATGCTTGTGTATCCTTTTGTTATATAAACATTATGCATATTTCTGTCATTTTGTAGTGACTATTTCACTTTTTAGTGGCATATGTCCCCTTTTCATTTCCAGTTTTATTACTTTGACTCCTCCATCTTTCCTTTTCTTCCTCAGGCTAAGAGTTTTTTGACCTAGTTTATTTTTACAAAGAACCAAAATTTTAATTCATTGCTTCTTTATATTTTTCTTGTCGTCTCCATTTCATTTACCTTTTCCCTAGCCTTTGTTGGTGCTTTGGGGATTGGCTTGGCGGTTTCCTGAAGTTGTGAGGTGCATCGTTATTTATTTAAGAGTGATCTGATTTTTTTTAATCTAAGTACTCACAGCTATAAGTTTCCCTCTTAGCCTTTGCTGTGTCCCCCCAAAGTACTAACTAATAAGTTGTGTTTTCATTTACATTTATATTCTAGGAATTTTTTAATTTCCTCCCACTTTTCTTCAGTGACCCTGACCATTCAAGAGTATATTGTCTCAGGAGCTAGAGAGAGAGCTCTGTAGTTAAGAGTGCTTTCTGACCTTTTAGAGAATCAAGTTCAGTTGCCAGCATCGTATCAGGTGCCTCAGGATTGCCTGCGATTCCAGCTCTAAGGGATCAAGGCCTTCTCTTGATCTTCATGGTCACTCACGTATATGTGTCATACCTAGAGACACACACATACAAACACATAAATGAAAACCTTAAAATAAAAATTTAAAGGGTACTGTCCAGTCTCCAAGTGTTTGTATACCTTTTGTGGTTTCTCTTGTTATTAGTTTCCAAGAAATTATTTAAACTCTTTTGTATTTGTTAAGACAGCTTTCGTGGAATATTCTTTAACTTCTGTTAAAGCCATCTGGTCTACAGTGCAGATTAATTTTCAAGTTTCTTTGTTGACGTTTAGTCTGGATGACGGATCAACTGGAGAGAGTAAGGTGTAGAAGTCACCCACTAGTATTGCATCAGGACCTCCCATCTTTTTATGGAAGTTGGAGCCACAGAATTTGATGTATATATTTCCTATGTTGTGTCTTCTTGGTGTACTGCTCCATTTATTAATACATATTGACCACCCCTATTCTTTATGGAATAGTTTTGAACTACTTTTATCAGAACAGCTGTGCCAAGTGTTTTGGCTTCCGCCTGCTTGGTAGCTCTGCTTCCTGACTTTTGCTCTCAGCTATGAGTGTCTTTGCTGGTGAGCTGGGGTGTTTTGGTTTGCTTGTTTTGTTTTCTTCAGAGGTTCAGGTTCTGCTGAATTTCTCCTCTTTGCTCCTGGCCTTTCCATCCTCCGTTCTGATGTCCTCGGTCACACAAGGACTTTCTCATCTGTTTCATCTGCTGTCCTTTCCAGTCCTCAGACTGATTTTCTTACCCCAATATTCTGATTGTCTGTGCATCCTCTCGGGTCGCTGGCCATTCCCATAAACGTTTAAGTCTTGACACAGTACTTTACTCATCTCAGGACTTTTGAACTCGGTGTCTGGTTCTAAAGGAGTATGCTACATAAGACATGTCATAGTAATATCATCATTCGATTTTAAAGATTATTATTACATGAAAGCAAAAGGGGAGTAGTTGGAAAGAGGGAGGTGTCAGAAGATTGGGAGGAGACAGTAAAGAGTGATAGCCAAATATATAAGGCAAATACATATATATGCATATATATGCAACCTGAATATATAAATAATTTATATTTATTTATATTTTATACAAAAATATGACTGGTTCCTATGAATGAATTACCTTAAAATTGGTGAAATTGGGGCTGGAGAGATGGCTCTGTGGTTAAGAGCACTGGCTGCTCTTCCAGAAAACCCAGGTTCAGTTCCCAGCACCCACCTAGCAGTTCACCACCAGCCATAACTCCAGCCCCGTGAAATCCAGCATCCTCTCCTGGCCTCTGAGGGCATCACATGCATGGAGTACACAGGCATACATGAAGATAAAACACTTACATGTATAAGAACAAAATAAGGAGATGCTCGTGGTTCAGAGCACTTACTGCCTGTGCAAAGGACCCAGGTTTGATTCCCAGCACCCACGTTCCTAGCTTGGTGGTGTCCAAGCATCCATAACTCCAGTTTCCAGGGATAAAACATACACATAGTACATATATATGTGCATGTAGTCAAAATACTCAATACACATGAAAATAAATATTTTTTTTAAAAAAAGTCAAGACTAGGTGGCTGGAAAGATGGTTCAGTGAAGAACACTTGCTCTTCCAGAGGATCCAAATTCAGTTCCCAGCACCCACATCCATTGTAACTCCAGCTCTGGGGACCCGAGCCCTCTCGCCTCTGCAGGCATCTGTACACATGTGCCCACACCCACATGCATATACGTAGTTAAAAATGATGAAAATACATTTTTAAAAATACAGATTTTTTTAAATCAGTGAATTTGATACATAATTTCAAAGATGCTATCTATTTTTTGAAAACAGATAAATAGGTAGACAGACAGACAAATAGACAGATGGGAAATGTCTTTTATATTCACGGGACCTTGAGCGTACACTAACTTTATTGAATATTTCCACAGGTAGTTGACTACGCTAAGCTTGTTCAGCCACGTTTTGATGACGCCCGTGAAAAGCTGATTAAGGACACCGTAATGGAGGCCACCGCCACGGCTATCAAAGCTGTGAGAGAGAAGCTGCTTATGGAACAGCAAGCTAGGAAGCAAGGTGGATCCTGTTCCCGTTTCACAATCTGTGTGCCTCGGTGGACAGCAGGCTTGGCTGGTGGAGGGCGGGACCGCTAGTTAGCCATCTTAGTGACCTTGCCGTCCGCACTTTAGTCTCTCAGTGACTGGCTGAAGGAATGAGAAGAAATGGATTCACAACCCAAAGCGTTTTTTTCTGGAGCCTTAAGGAAAGGCACGTTTGAATGTGTCTTTCTTCAAGGGTCTACCTACTTCGCAGAGGCTGAGCAGTGCTTGTGACTTCATCCGCACTGGCAGTTAAAACAACCCTCACTCGACCCCTATCGTGTCTGCTGTTTAACACCGTACACCAGCCTTGATATTGCTAAATCTTTCTATTTGGAAAACACTAAGTTCAGTGACATGGTAAACACAACTCTCCAATTGTACAGGTGACAGTTAAATGGCTCTAAAGCTAATACAGAAACTTCACACACAACACTTGACCCCTCCCCTTCCCTTTCCAAAGCCCAGCTCCTGACCAGGTCACTCACTGCTGATCGTGATATTTTAGGGTAAACACAAAAGTGACCTTTACTTGATTGTTTTTCTTTAGGAAAATGAGAGTTCTAATTTCATGACTATTTTTGTAATTGATAGAGGGGTTTGGTTGAACTGAGATCTCTAATTGTTGTCTGCTCTTCTTACATACACATATGTGTACACATGCACATACATATACATCCATATATCCATCTGGCCTGGAACTACGTAGCCCAGGCTAATCCTGTGTTTAAATCTTCAGTTCTCCTCTGCCGCCCGTTGAGTGCTGGGATCACAAGTGTGAGCCGCCATGCCTGTTGTAACCGAATTGCCTTGGTTCCATACTACCTACACACCGTGTGGTATCTTCACATTTAAAGATCTGGATCCAAAATTTGAGATCAGCTCCAACAATTTTAGACTAGATTTGGTTGCCGCTCTTCAGTTTCCTAGAGCCTCGGGCAGCACAATTTTACATCACAAGACTTTTTCTTTCACTTCTGATATGCTTTTTCTGATGAAACATTTATTATTACAAAAATAATGATACGTAGTGTATTTTGAGCACTTACTACACAATAAAGTTGTGCTAGTTCCCTTGCATGTAAGACCTATATAATCTTCATAAATCTTTTACCTTAGTTTCAGTGGATAAAGAAACTTAGCTTTAAAAAAAGGCTGTAGAAGTTGCCCATGGATGAGAGCCAGCGAATCCCTAAGATTCACTTCACTGTGAAGTCTGGGGCTGGAATTGCAGGGGCTGCAAGCCGTCTGACGCGGGTGCTGGAAAACCAAACTCATGTAATAGAAGGGCTTCAAGTGTTCCTAGCCCTTGAGTGACCACTCCACCCTGCTAAGTATAATTTAAAGATCTCAAGTGTTTCTCCTTGAGAATGATTTTATCTTTTCAGCATCTAGCAAGACAACCTTAATGATTTGCATGCTTTGACCTGTTCATTTGATCAGCAACACTGTACTCCAACATCAAGTTATTTTTTAATTTCTAATATACATCTTACTTAGTCATGGTATATTAAAACTATTTAAAATTTTGTTTATTGAGACTCTTCTCAACATCCAGAGTGTAACTAGTTTATAGCAATCTTTTTTGGTTTTATGGAAGATTTTGTTATGAAACGTATTATGGCATATTTCATTTTTGTGGTTTATTTGTTTGGCTTTCTGTATAAACTTAGAGGTTTTCTGGCATTTCTTGTTTTGAAGTCACTCAATAAGAAATTAACCTCTTTTTCCTGGTGCTGTTGGATTTTCACTAAACAAGGACTTTTTTATTGATTTTATTGAGCTCTCCATTTTTCTCTGCTCTCCTCCCTTTCCTCTCCTCCTCCCCTTCAACCCTCTCCCATGGTCCCTCTGCTTCCTATTTACTCAGGAGATCTTGTCTTTTTCTACTTCCCATGTACATTAGATCTATGTATGTCTTTCTTAGGGTCCTCATTGATGTCTAGGTTCTCTGGGATTGTGATTTGTAGGCTGGTTTTCTTTGATTTATGTTTAAAAACCACTTATGAGTGAGCACATATGATAATTGTCTTTCTGAGTCTGGGTTACCTCACTCAATATAATGTTTTCTAGATCCATCAATTTGCCTGCAAATTTTAAGATGTCATTATTTTTTCTGTTGTGTAGTACTCCATTGTGTAAATGTACCACATTTTCCTTATCCATTCTTCAGTCAAAGGGCATTTAAGTTGTTTCCAGGTTCTGGCTATGACTAACAATGCTGCTATGAACATAGTTGAGCACATGTCCTTGTGGCACAATTGAGTATCCTTTGGATATATACCCAAAAGTGGTATTATTGGATCTTGAGGAAGGTTGTTTCCTAATTTTCTGAGAAATCACCATACTGATATCCAAAGGGGTTGTACCAGCTTGCACTCCCACCAACAATGCAGGAGTGTTCCCTTTACCCCACAACTTCTCCAGCATAAGTTGTCATCAGTGTTTTTTTTTTTTAATCTTGGCCATTCTTACAGGTGTAAGATGGAATCTCAGAGTTGTTTTGATTTGCATTTCTCTGATGACCAAGAATGTTGAGCTTTTCCTTAAGTGTCTTTCAGCCATTTTAGATTTCTCTGTTGAGAGTTCTCTGTTTAGATCTATACTCCATTTTTTTATTGGATTATCTGTACTTTTGATGGCCAATTTCTTGAGTTCTTTGTATATTTTGGAGATCAGACCTCTATCTGATGTGAGGTTGGTGAAGGTCTTTTCTCATTCTGTAGGCTGTCATTTTGTCTTGCTGACCATGTCCTTTGCTTTACAGAAGCTTTTCAGTTTCAGAATGTCCCATTTATTAATTGTTTCTCTCAGTGTCTGTGCTACTGTGCTACTGGGGTTATATTTAGGAAGTGGTCTCCTGTGCCAATGCATTCAAGTGTACTTCCCACTTTCTCTTCCATAAGGCTCAGTGTGGCTGGCTTTAATTTATGTTGAGGTCTTTGATCCATTTGGACTTGATTTTTGTGCATGGAGGTAGATATGGGTCTATTTTCATTCTTCTACATGTTGATATCCAGTTATGCCAGCACCATTTAAACCATTTAAACAAGAACACTCTTGACTATTTATTGTGTCTTTCTTCTTTCTGGGTAGCCTATAAGCCTGTGAAAGCATCCATCATCCTTCCTAGAACTTTTCAGAAGAGCCCAAACTGACATGGCATGACACCCTAATGTCCATCTAGATGATTGTCTTAGTTAGTTAGGGTTCATTTGCTGTGAAGAGACACCATGACCATGTCTACTCTTATAAAGGAAAAATTTAATTGCAGTGGCTCACTTATAGTTTCAGAGGCTCAGTTAATCATCACCATGGGAGCACGGTGGTGTGCAGACAGACATGGTGATACGGCAGCTATGCTGGTGTGCAGGCAGACACGGTGATACTGCAGCTATGCTGGTGTGCAGGCAGACATGGTGATATGGCAGCTATGCTGGTGTGCAGGCAGACATGGTGATACGGCAGCTATGCTGGTGTGCAGGAAGACATGGTGATACGGCAGCTATGCTGGTGTGCAGACAGACATGGTGATATTGCAGCTGAGACTGCTACGTCTTGCAGGAAAACAGGAAGTGAACTGACTCACTGGGTAGTATTCTGAGCATAAGAAACCTCAAACCCACCACACAGTGACACACTTCCTCTAAAAAGCCACACCCACTCCAACAAAGCCTCATATCCTAATGTTGTCACTCCCTATGAGATTATGGGGGCCAAATACATTCAAACTACCGCAATGATCTAGAAAGAATTCGTAGGCTTACTATATAACTTTCAAAATGCAAAATCCAAATGTAAAGAATACTCGTGACCACTTAACAATCGAAGGAGGGAAGTTAGCCCAGAATTCATTAATTTAGTCAACAAACACTTGAGTACTTTCTTTGCATTAGACAAACACTATGAAGATTCCATTCTCTTGGTGCTTACATTTAAGTCAAGAATGGAGAGAAAAAATAAAAGGGAGGGAGGAAGGAAAGAATAAGTTAGTGGGGGGTGGGATGGGAAACATGTAAGGAGCAATGGAGCCGAGAGTAATGGGAGCAGGGTGCTGTCCAGGGTGCTGTCCTGCTAACTGCTCCAAGCAAAGACACCAGATTGAAACTTAAACCGCAAAGGCAGCCAGCCGGGCGTTTGCTACAGTCTGTGGTCACTACTTTCACCTGAGATCATGGGAATGAAATACAAGTTCTGGAGCTTTTCATACATTGTCTTTCCTGCTGGGGCGTGCGAGTAGCTATTCTCCTCTATGCTGTGATCTTAAAAACCCTTTCAAGTCTCACTGACTTCTAAGTCTGGCAATAAAGTTAACCGTAACACTTCCAGTGCAGGAATCTAAGCCCACATCCATCCAAGTTAAATTGGTCAAGCCGGAATAGTGAGAGTTTTGTAATCACAGCATTTGTATAATGAGACAGAGGTTAACCACCAGCAGGGAGCAGACTTCCTGTGTCTGCACCTGTGTTTGCACCCAATGCCTGGAATTCAACGATCTTCATTTGACCTAGGAAAATAGGAGACAAGCCAAATGGCTAACATACCCACAGTCCCTCCACAACAGTCAGAACCGAAACTGCGTCTACCTTCAGCAGTGCATTCTAACCACTCTGCCTGCCTACCTGTCTCCTTCCACGTCCTTTAACACAGCCATTTTTTCTTTCAGAGGAGAGGAACTTGAGGGAACTGCAAATTCAGTATGCAAAAAAGGAATACGAAGACTTCATGGATGACAAGATGTTTAGAAGCTCTGAAGACTTGCAGTCTTTGGTGGGTGATGAAGGTATAAACTCACGGCCTGATACTGTCAGTGATGGGGTCCGTCGTACTGTGTATAGATGAGCCAATAAAGTGTCTTCTTTTGCCGCAGCAACTGCTCACGGCTCCCAGAAACTCAGCTCCTTAGACAGTGCCGATGAAGACAAAACTAGGTCCGAGAACGCCCTTGCTGCAGACATGGATAAAGATGGTAAGGACATGAGCTCCCGAGAAAATGTCTATGCATCTCAGTCCATTTGTTTTTTATTTGGTCATCATACGGGAGCTCAAAATTAATGCATGCAAAGTTGAAAACTTCAGCAGGAATAAAAGGCAGGCTTCACTTTTGCAGATTCCAACCAAACAGCTGCAGAACAAAATAGATTTATTACAATGAAGATGAGAGAGAGAAAATGAAAAGTTACATTTATGCAGAACCCCAAGAAAGATTGATGTCATACAGTCATTATCAAATGATTATAAATTCCTTCTTGAAAGCTCTATACTAACTTTGATATAGTGTAACCAGTATATCATAAACCCATAATTAGTTTGTGACATTTCATCATTATTGATTTGCTATTTAACCTTTTGACATTGTTCTGTTCGTATGCGAAAATTCTGACAGCACACAGAAAGACCTGATACAACATTATGCAATTATGTCTACTGTGTCGTCACACAATACCCATAAAGTCAACTGTTCCTCTGCTTTTGGACAATAGTGGATCCTGCAGTTAGGTTTCTTTATTGGGAATTATTTTAGCCCTTATTTTAAAAATTGCATAATTTTTATGACTAAATCATGGCTTAGCTGTTAAATATTAGTGTGTTTTATTTTATGAATATATGTGTTTATCAACCATATGCATGCATGAACCAACAGAGATCAGAAGAGGGCACAGAGCCACTGTAACTGGAGTTACATACAGGCAGTTAGTCACCGTATGGGTGTGGGAACCAAACCCACGTCCTCTGCAAGAGTAGTAAGCACTCTTACCCTCTGAGCCATCTCTCCAGCCCCAAGCTAGTTCTTTATATTATAAATTTGTGTTACTTTTTTGCTCCCATAAACAATATTTTAATGCATTTCAATATAAATTTTAGCTGGATATTTATATTAGTATAACTACTATGTCAATGAATATGAAGCTACAGAAAAAATTGTTTTGCATAAAAGTTATTCCAGATTATCCAGTAATCTACATATATATATGTCATTGCTTGTTCATTATTTTTTGCTTTTATTTCTTTTTACATTGATGATGATTTTTACTTCTCATTAAATTTTCCAAATTGTCTCTTCAAACATATTTTATGTTAGTTAGTCCCTTATTTTTCAGGGTTTTTATTTTTCAAAATTGAGTAGTCTGTCTGCTACATCATCTTGTTATTGGTGAATTAATGGAGGCATTTTTCATCATCATCCATTGTTTTTCTATTATTATTTATGCTTTTACTTTTAGGATTTAAAAAGTTTTGCTCTGGCACTCTGGTTTTATAAGAGTTTTTTGTTAGGTTAACTTTTTGTTGTTGTTGTTCAATCTTTTTGTATTTGGTTTTAAGGCACAGCAATAATTTGATGTATACACAGTTCATAATGCTTGCTTCCTCCTACTGTTTCAAACATGCCTGCTTTTCCTGGTTTTTATTTTGAACTAGTAAGAATGGACTAGACACTGTTAGAAACTTGTATGTGTCACCCTCTTTACACACACACACACACACACACACACACACACACACACAAGAATGCATGTGAACGTGTGTACTCTTCACAGTGGGACACCATATGCCCACATGTAACCAAGTAGCTGCTGGGAGCCCACCCCTGATGCTTCTGAGCTCCCACAGCACCCTACAGTCCCTCTCCCAGACTGCCCTGCCCCTTTGTGCACCAAGCAGTCCAACTTAGCAGCAGGCACCAGGGCGTCTACCCACAGTGGGTGCTGATGTTGACAGCCTCCCCTTCCTGAAGCCAACTGTGAGGCCAACTGCAAGGCCATGGCCTCTGGACAGCAAGATTGTTGCTCAGAAAAGGTATTTTAAATTTTTTTTTAAATTTAGATTCACAGGCAATATATAAAACTAAAATCCTAGCTTTGTTACAGGTTGTTATTTTTAATTTTTTTTTCTGTTGACAGGTATGTTTAGCTATTTGAATGTTATGACTTTTACCTGAATTATGCCCATACCAAACTTTTTCAGAATCCAGGCCTGTGTAATTTAGTGCTCAGCACAAGTTCTTAGCAATGTTCTCTCCGCAGATGAAGAAGAAAGCAGCGGCACACCCACAACTAGCAGGAGGTCCTGAGACCTTCATCGAGTAGAAAAGTAGGCGCTCTGGCAGGCGCTGGAGAGGGCTGAGGTCAACAGGGGATCATGTCGTTGCCCAATGGGGTCAATGGGATGGCATGCTCAGAGCTTAAACAGATGCAGACTCAGCCCCTGGCACAGGACCACCCTAGCCCTGGGCAATGATGGAGGCCCAAGATGAGGAACTGTCTGCTTTCTTGACTGGACCTCCTCAGAGTTCCAGTGTATCCCATGATGCTGCTGAGGGCCATGTGTGGGCCAGGGGTCCTGATGTGGCTGGGGTCTGAGTTGATATCAGAGGACCATGTCATCACTTAACAACATGCAGACATGGATGGCCTGTGCTGTGGCCTGAAGCCATGTTGGTGGCCATGGGCCATGCTGCCCCCAAGGCCCATTCCCATGTGAGTGACCCACAGTGCCTTCTGAGACCACGGTAGTGTCATGGTCCAAAGTCCTGCTACAGCCGGGGTCTGAGGTGATTTCCTTGGCCTGTGTTGCCAATGAACGTCAAGTGGAGGTCCCTGGCCTACACTGCTGCCTGAAGCCATGTGGAAGTTTGTGGGCTGTGCTGCCACTGGGGGGAGCCTGCAATGCCACCTAAGGCCATCGTGATGTCTGGGTCTGTGATGCCAAGGGCCATGTCTGGGTCTGTGTTGGCACAAGTTGCCACCGAAGGCCAGGCAGATGTCCAGAGGTCTGTGCTGCAGCCTGAAGCCATGTTGATGTTCGCTTTGGAGGGCCTTGTCTGGGTCTGCGGCCCTACTACAACTAGAAGCCCTGTTCGTGGTCTGTACTGAAGCCAGACACATGGAAGCCCCTGGCCCAGGCTCTCAGACAGCAATGAATGAATAAGCTGCTCTGGCAGTGATATGGATGACTGCAGATGCACAGTTAGGAAAGGGGGACGTGGAAGTCTTCTGTGACAAACCCTACCTTCACCCCAAAGCGCCCTAAATAGTAACAACCTAAACAGGAAGCCATCTAAGAGAACTCTTAAAAACTGTGATAGAGCATTTGGAAAATGGCTAGTCTCTCTGCTCTGCCTTCCTTGGTACCACACATGGAGGCTAATTCTTACAAAAGCTCGGCCTTAGCTTGGCTGGTTTCTTGTCAGTTTTTCTTAAATTAGCCCCTCTACATTTTCCCTCTGGGCTTTTTCCTTTTCTTTCTTCTGTACATGTTACTTTCCTTCTTACTGTGTGGCTGGATGTGTGGCAGGATGGCTGGCCCCCTGGGTCCTCTCTCCTTTCTTGTTCTCTCATTGCTTGCTCTTTCTCCTGGTTTCTTCTTCTATTTATCCTCTCTGCCTGCCAGCCCCGCCTATCCTTGCTCCTGCCTCGTTATTGGCCGTTCAGCTCTTTATTAGACCATGGGGTGTTTTAGAAAGGCAAAGTAACACAGCTTCACGGAGTTAAACAAAGTCATACACCTTAAAATAGTGTTCCTCATCACCCTCACCCAAACCCATTTGCATTTTATTGACTCTCCAAACTGTAAGGAGAGCTAGGAAATGCATGTTTCCATCTGGGCACATGAGTGGCCTTGACAGAAGCATGCTGTCAAGAAGGAGGACAGAGGCAAGAGAACCAAGCAGCTTAGCCCTTGGGACACTTTTTAAATTTAACTTCATTGTTGATTCTTTGGGCATTTCACATCATGCATATCATGCATCCCAATTCTGCTTCTGGTCCCCCCATCCTCCCTTCACCCCCACAAAAGGAAACAAAATAAGGCAAACAAGCAAACAAAAATAAGAACAAAACAAAAAATCAAAAACCTCTTTGCTTCTCCTTCTTTCCCCCCTCTCCAACACCTCTTCATTCATCCTAGAGGCACTGGGGGGCCTCAGCGTGTCATGTAGTAGACCCTTTGTCCTACCAACCTTACTGGCAAACAGTCATTGCAAGGAGCCAAGGGTCTAGCTGTGACTTTTTTGCCCCCTTCCTCCAGGGCTCCAGAAAGACACCACAGTTCTGGACTGTTCTGCCCTGCCCTCAAGGAGCCGTGTCTCTTTCTTCCCTGAGTACATTTTAAGGCAAAGAGGGCAGGAGGGGCAGGAGGGGCAGGAGGCAGCTGTCCTTTGAAGGCCTTTGAGCTGAGGTCAATGGGGCTTTGGGCAGAGATTCTAACAAACAGGTGGAGCCCGTTAGCAGTAGTTACAAAGCAAGACTGGAAATGCGGAAGGTGTCCAACCAGAAGGAACTGCCAAGCCCCGGCCTCACTGGAGGGGTAGATACACACACCGTCAAGTGGTGAAGACAGCGCAATCCCCTCAGCCATGCCAGGAATGAAAGCAAAAATCAAATCTCTGCCAAGTTTTCCCCCAACCAATTCCAGTTTGCCTGCCCCCTGCTCTCCCCACCACTGCTCGAGACCCTTGTTGGTAACTGAAGCGCTCATCTTGTGTGATTTCCTCCCTAGTTGCTTAAGCTCACCTTCACTCCTGGAGGTTCGGGTCCCTCCCATGGCGTCCTTGACATGACCTTCACACTGCTGCACTGGCTTGTGTCTCCTCTGGTTTGTGATCGTATGGTTTTACTCTCGTCTTCTAGCAGGTGCATTGGTAACACAAGGAAGACTTTAGGCCACACGTTAGCCGCATGTCTTATCTCAAGTAACATTGTTCATGAGCCTAGGGATGAAATTTGTGTCAACTTATTTGACTTTAGTGTCCACAGAAGAGTCCATAGAAGAAGTGAATGAGAACCACCCTGAGGTGCTTTCCCTCATAGAGGACACTCTGAAACAGGCCAAGGAACTGAACTTTGAGCAGCCGTATGAGAAACAGGCTGAGCTGCTAGAGGAAATCATCAAAGAGGTAAAGTTTTCCAAACTTTTCATGTCTCTCATTGACTTAGAAACTAAGAATGTCCATTTGGTTTGTGACCAGTTGTCCCAAAGTGTTCTTTTACCCCAGGCTTCAAACTCATGTACTCTTTTGTTTACGTCATGTCTTATATGTTTCATAGCTCTTGAGAATTTTATACATGCCTACAATGAAATGATTGTAACTGCCCCCCTGTTTCCCTCCACTTTTCCCCATATCCCCAGAAGCACACCCACTCCCTACTTCATGTCTTTAAAAGAATTAACTAGAGTCCAGTAGATGCTGCCCACGGAGCATGGGTGTGGTCTGCCCACTGGAGCATGGGTGTGGGTTGCCCACTGGAGAACAGGTGTGGTCCGCCCACTGGAGCACGGGTGTGGGCCGCCCACTGGAGCACGGGTGTGGGCCGCCCACTGGAGAACAGGTATGGGCCGCCCTCGGAAGCACAGGTGTGGGCCGCCCTCTGGAGCATGAGTGTGGGCCGCCCACTGGAGCATGGGTGTGGTCCGCCCACTGGAGCTTGGATGTGGTCCGCCCACTGGAGCATGGGAAACCTGCCAGCAGCCATCTCCTTGATTATGAATGATCTCCTTCTTCCACACTGTCCACTACCCACAGTTCCAATGCTGTCACGTGAGAAGTGCCCCGATGGTGCTGTCACCAGTTGGAAGATTCACAATTATCAACAAAATTAAGTGATGTGATTTCATAGTTGTGAGATGAATTCACTGAAGTCAACATTAGCTATTGCCTTGGATTCGGTCCAGTTAGTAGTAAGATGGAGTCTATTGAACCAGCGCCACATTTAGATATTTCATTTATGAGCTCAGTAGAGACGGAGATCAATTCTGCCACGTGGCTATCTAACTTCATTCAACCACCCTAGCGTGTGGTGATAGGGGAGAGTAGAAACACAGAGAACTTTTCGGCCCGAAGAGGAAAACAGCCTCAAATGCCATGGCCATGCCAATGGCAAATCAGCACCTTTTCACTTGTTTATAAAGGATGCGATATCATAGAGGTGGACTCTATGCAAGAATCTCAGGTAAGCATGCAGAGAAGGCATGCAAGATTAATGGGCCAGTTTGGGACTCTTGGTGAGCTTTTCTATTTTCTCTATGATGGAATCTTAAATTATTATGTGAGAAACGCTGGGCACAGGAATTTGTACCTCAGCATTCAGAAGGCTGAGGCAGGAAGGTCATGCATAATTTAAGGTCAGCCTGCGCTAAGCATAAGACTCTCTCTCTCTCTCTCTCTCTCTCTCTCTCTCTCTCTCTCTCTCACACACACACACACACACACACACACACACAAATATGTGAGAATAAAACGCTTCTCTATCACATGAGAACATCAGTCTGTAGCTCACAATGTAACACCCTTGAGCCCCGACTGTAGCAGACTCCTTTGGACTCCTCAGTACTTTTGAGCTCAAACACACATTTTTAAAATCTATTTATTTTACATCCCAGCTGCAGCCTGTCCCCCATCCTTTCCTCCCAGTCCCTCTCCCCCATTACCCATTCCAAACCCCAAATCCCCTCCTTTTCTGTCTCCATCTAGGAAAGGGCAGGTCTCCTGTAAGTATCAATAAAACATGGCCTATCAGGTTGCAGTTAGACTAAGCACCTCCCTATGTGTTAAAGCTGGGCAAGGTGACCCCGTATGAAAAGTAGGGTCCCAGAAGCCAATAAAAGCACTGGAGACGGCCCCTGTTCCTGCTGCTAGGGGTCCCACAAGAGGACTAGGCTGCACAATTGTCACATATGTGCAAAGTACCTAGGTCAGTTCTATGCAGGCTCCCTGGTTGTTGGTTCAGCCTCTGTGAGCACCTGTGAGCCCAGGTTAGCTGACTGTGTGAGCCTTTTCATGGTGTCCTTGACCCCTCTGGCTCCCACAATCTTTCCTCTCCCTCCTCCTCCTTAGATTTCCCAACCCCCCCCCAATTAAACACACCTTTTAACCAATCTCCTTAGGTTGTTCGAGCCTAGTTTTCCCTTCGGACGTGCCTTGAGTCTGAACCTGCTATTTCTGTGTACTGTATTAGAAACTGGAGATAGGGAAATAGATTTGTCGATTGCGTTTGGTGGGTTACTCAGTCTAGGGGTTTGTAACCCACCCTGCAATCAGTTATTCCAGGGTCTCGGAGGGGCACTACCTGGAAGGGAATGAGCTAGGACAGAAGGAGGCCAAGCAGATTTGTCAAAGCCTCTATTATTAGGATCATGGTTGCTGCTTATATAGCCCCTGAAGGGTAGGGAAACTGGACTCTTGCCGCGTATTCCAGGTCACGTAGGCCAAGAGGTTACATTCGGACAGGTGGACAGGTAGGCCAAGAAGTCACAAGTTGCCACACCTAGTTCCCTGGATAGCTGGAATGTGAGGCGGGTTCTGCTAACAGATAGCTCTCCATCAACAGCTTAATTGGGTGTGGGGCAGGTTCTCAATAGAACATAATTATGGGTGTGGGGTTCTCTGCAGACTCCCCAGGGTGATGGTTCCTGTAATTATTTTTAGGGGGGAAATGGCTTGTGACATAGATTAAACATGGCTCTTGCCTTTAAGGATCTTCTACACTGAACTGGCCCGGAAGCCACTCACTGGGTCATCGTGTAGCAAATAGACAGATACGAGGCACAGGAATTCCCTCGGAAAACTCAGAACTACCATCAACGCCCCATCAATGAGACAGAATACCCGGAGAAGCAAAGTGAAGACAGGCGCCTACAACACTAGCCCTTGCCCGTGGTGCAAACACCCTCTTGACCTTTGTGGAGAAGACAAATCTCTAGGACGGATAAATACAGCATTTCAGAGGCAACAGTGTGCATGGCGTGTTAGGGCTTAACAACTGCAACGGGCTGCTCAGATGGTGTCCACTCCCACCGCGCTGCTACTCCTCAAAAGACCAGGGGATCAGGCAGGAAAACCATTCTCATAAGCAGCTAGAGATATTGTAACGAGTATACTCTTTTGTTGTTGTTTTGCTTTGTTTTAGTTTTGAGACAGGTTCCCTTCATAGCCCTGATTGTCCTAGTTCTAGGACAGATTCCAAAGCTACAGAGAAACCCTGTCTCGAAAAAAAACAATAAATAAATAAAATAGTCTAATGCATAAGGAAGTTCATCACTGTTAACAATAAAAAGTGACATAAATATTAACTAGACACATTTAGTGCCACAGATTAAGAGACAGCAAGAGAACACCCTGTTGTTTAATAAAGGCTTTGTTCCTCTTTTTAAACTAGTAAGACTTGATTACTTCAAAATTAAGATTCTCTTAAAATTAAGTCAGTCTTCCTTTCTTTCTTCTCAGAGTCAGGACCCAGAAGATGCCTGTTGGACTCCTACAAGAAAAACACACCATAAATCTGTGACTTGCCTACTCACAATGGTGCTGTTCTCACAGGTAACAGAAGACAACAAGAACAGGTTTCCTGGTGCCCAAAAATATGGAGGATGGATTGTGGACAACTGCCCTGTTATAAGAGATCTGTGGATGGCCTTCATTGAAAAAGGAATTGTACCTGATTTGGTTATCTCTTTTACAGATGCAGATAACAATGGTTGGTAAATATTGATTATCTAAACTTAAAGTAAAATGTTTGTTGCTGACATTCATGTTGGTTAAAATAAAGAATGGAGAACTCTCTTTAGACAGAAATAGCACCCTAGCCGTGTCCATAGGACCGGATGATGTGTGAAGTGATGTTTCTACTCACCGAGAAGGCAGCCTGGGGTGCCACGCCACCGAAATGTCTAGCAGGTTCTAGCAGGCCTCAGTAGCCAGCGTCCCCTCTCAATCAGTAGCTGTGACTTATCAGTCAACACTGGGTACAATCCTGACCCCAAATTTAAATGGTCTACCACTTCACCTTTTAAGAAAATATATTTGAGAGGCGGTGGGGTAAATGTTTGTTCAGTCAACCCTGACAACCTGAGTTCAATGCTTGTGACCCATACGGTAGGAGAAAACCTACTCTCCGCAAGTTGTCCTCTGACTGCTATACATGCACATGAGTGTACATACAAACACACACACATGTGCGTGCAAACGCACACACACACAAATGTAAGAAAAAAATCTTAAAAAATATTTGAAATAAGAATTCCCAGCATGAACACAGTTTTTTTCGTGTTTTCATTATTTATTACATAGTAGCATATGCCTTTCAAAAAAAAGATTTAAGACATCCTACTAAACTTTTTAAAGACTTGGAGCTGTTTGGATGAGAACTTACAGGGAAATTTGTGTGTGCATAGTCTAAGGTTGTTCTGTAGTTAATCTCCAAAACAGGCCACACTCTATGCAATTTCAAAATAATTTTTTCTCTTTATCTGTATTTCAGGAAAATGTTTTTTAAATAGAATGTATTTAAAGCATAAGCCAGAGATTGATGCTAAGATTTTAGAGAGATTACAAGATGAACTGCAAATCAAGAAAAAGGAAGAGGAGGAAATACGGTAAGGTTTGTGTAGACCGAAAAACGCTACACACTCAACATGCCCCTCTCTCAGAGATTTTATTTTTTTTTTTGTGTTTGTGTTTGTGTGTGTCAATTGTGTGTGGATGACCACTGAGGGCGGAAGAGTTCACCGGATCCCCTGGAGCTGAAGTTAGAGGTAGCTATGAGCCACCCAACATGGGTGCTGGGAAGCAACCTCAGGTCCTCTACAAAAGCAGCAAGCAATCTTAACCATGGAACCATCTCTCCAACCCCCAGTATGTACCTGCAGGTTTTATAGCCTCTCACAGGTTACGCTTAGAAAATGTTCCTAACATCAAAAAGATTGTCCATTAACTGCACAAAAATCCCACTGTGTCCAAAATAAACAGGAAGTTCCTGAATATCTACTCAGTGGTAAACAGTTTCACAGCTCATTACAAGTTTTCTTCATTGGGAGTCTGCGAAAAAAATGAGCCTAGATCACACACACACACACACACACACACACACCTATCTGTGGTTAAATTTTAAAAACTAGAATCCACACACTGAGACAACAACACAAGAGAACATAAATGAAAATATACCGCATGGAATAACTAAGGGGAAATCTGTCTTGCCTCCATGGAAGGAAAGAACGGATTATGTACATCTTACAAAGGCAGCGTAGAAGGTTTGTTCTCTGCTCTGTGTGAAACGAGGCACTTTTAAAATTGTGAGCAGCTAAGGTTCAAGATTGACCTTTAATAAATTGTGACGTTCTCAGACTGAGAAATAAAAGAGTGGAACAGGTCCCTAACTAGTTGTTCGTCCTTACCGAAATGTTCTCTTCCACAGACTGTATTTGAGCCAGGCAGTGGTGGTGCACATCTTTAATCCCAGTCTGATTCAGGAGGCAGAGGCCTGTTGGTATCCGGGAGTTCTGGTCTAGCCTGTTCTACTTAGCGAGTTCCAGGATAGCCAGATCCACACAATACAGAGACCCTGTCTCAAAAGAAAAGAAACCGAATTGGGGGTGGGGGTGGATATGGCCAGCTGATGACAAGTCCTTGCTGTGGTTCCAGGGGCTCTGAGTTTCGTTCCCAGCACCCTCCCCAGCTACAGGACATCCAACAGCCTCCTTTAGCTTCTGCTGGTGTACACACACACACACACACACACACACACACACACACCATGCAAACACCACTAAATAAAAATAATAGAAAATCTTTGGGAGTGTGGCACACGGCAGAAGCCATGGCTGAGGTGGAGGTTGGAGGTTTGTTGTTTTTAATCTTTCTTTTTTTTTTTAACTATCTGGAATTTTCTAGTTCTGCAATCAATTTCTACTCATGCTCATGAGCTTCTTAATGCCCAAACCGGTGCAGGCTTCTCAAGAGTTCTATATGCTGATTTCTAAAACTCAGCAATAAGCTTTTCACAAAAGCTTATTCTATATTCTAGAGAAAATAAAACCCGAAAGAGCAAGAGAAAATGCCTCCCAGATGCATTCAGGGCTCCACAGGTTATCTAAACAGAGACAAGCTTAGCAGGATTAAGGCTTGCATCATACATAGGTCAAACAACTAAAAACATACTGAACTCTAGGTTTCCCGACATCCGTCTGCACACACTTCAGCTGAAGGACAAGGTCATCTGTCATCTTTGTCTCAAATGCTTCAGAGGTTCTTTCCCAGCCTGGCCAGGCCTGGGTCTTCCCAGCAGCATACTTTATCTGGTTTTAGAAAAGGAAGTTCTCATAAGCAGCCTTGCTGGGGACGTGTGACTCAGACGTCAAAACAGAATGTGAAGGAGATGGGTCAAGGAGACTCAGCCGTCTGCCTGGCCTGGGCCATGAACAGTGAGAATCCCAATAACACCAACAGGACACAGGAGAACCTTAGCCAGAAATATGGTGGTAGTGTCTCCCAAAGAGAATCATCATTAGCTTTCAAAGAAGGAAACACAGACGCAAAGTCACACACCTTTGCAGGGCAGTGGCTCCAGGAGCTGCTGTGGACACTGAGCCCGCCTTGCTTGCTTTCCTACTGGTGAACACTTGGTGTTTTGTTGTTGTTGTTGTTGTTTTCCATGATGCAACCAAGTTGTTAAATGTTTCACTATCAGTGGTATGCCTATTTCTAAATACTTAGGCACAGGGTTTCCAGCCAAGATACATATCTCTTTACTTTTTAATAGACCAGGCCTTGCTCCCCACATTTTGATAACTTTCCATTTATCTATTTCCACCACTGTTGGGAAAGTTTGAGTGCTTCGACCTTCATGGAATACAAATTCCCACTGTGTGCTGAAGCTTCCATACTCAAAGACTTTGTAAATGGCGTCGTCACTGGAACGGGAAGTGTAGTTCTGTCCTGCCTAGTAAAACCTGGGTTGGTAAAAGGAAGTCATTAGTGTCTTAAAACTTTACTTTTTAATTATAAGTTTTAATTTATGTATATATATGGGGGGTGAAGTGTGCACATGTGAATGCAGATAAACTTGGAGCCTAGAGGAGGCGCTAGATCTCCTGAAGCTGGAGTTACAGGTGGTTGTAAGCTTGCATGTTCGTGCCGGGAATAAAGCTCAGGACCTCTATAAGAGGAGCAAGCATTCTTGACCCCCGAGCCATCTCTCCAGACTCTGATTTCCTCTGACTAAAAGAAACATTATGGGTGCTGGAGAGATGGCTCAGAGGTTAAGCGCACTGGCTGCTCTTCCAAAGGTCCTGAGTTCAACTCCCAGCAACCACATGGTGGCTCACAACCATCCAAGATGAGATCTGGCGCCCTCTTCCGGCCTGCAGGCATATAGAACATAGTATACATAATAAATCTTTAAAAAAAAAAAAAGAAAAAAGAGACATTATGTTCTCTATTCCATGGAGAAAAAAAAACTAATGCAAATGTTACAAATTGAACTATAATAATGGTACCATCCATCAATAATCACTGTCTTTAATTTGATTAATTTCCTAGCCTCCTAGTTCTCATATATACTGATACAAAGTTAAAATGATATCATACATATAGTTTTATACTCTACTTTTTTTCACCAACATTATATTGTGACTATCACCCACTGAGTCTGAGGGAAATGTTATAGACCCCCCTTCCTCTCAACTTACCTCAGGGAATCTTTCACTCATTTTAACAGGTTTTCTAACCGACAGCCATAGTATAAAATACAACATTCCCCACCTTCTTACCAAAACTACCCCAGTACTGACTGAAAACGAACTGGCTTCAGCCTGAGTGAATTGTATACTGTAAATAGGACGCAGAATGGAGGATTAACAAAAGTCTTTGCTGCTTGCCACCATGAGAATTTAACCTCCTAATAATGAGAAGTGTCTGTTTTTTTAAAAAATAAAATAAAATAAATTTTGGATGTTCTCATTTCAGAAAAGCCAAAGAAGAGGAAATGAGACTAGAAGAAGAAAAGCAGAGGCTGATAGAAAGTGTGGCCAAGAAAGGAAAAGGCAAGCACAGACTGTAACAGTAGTAGCGTGTCATTTAGTCTTGTATTGCTACTGCCACTCTCGAGAGGATTTCCAGTGTATCCCCTGGTCCTGAAAGTACCCCTTCTTCCCCCAGCATCTGTTGCTGCTTGTTTTACTCTTTACTCTTCTGGGGGGCAGCCACATGGAGGCTTATTCTTTCTTATGAATGCCCAGCCTTAGCTTGGCTTGTTTCTTGCCAGCTTTTCTTAAATTATCCTGTCTATCTTTTGCCTCTGGTCTTTTACTTGTCTCTATTTCTGTATATCTTTTCTTCTTATTCTGTGGCTGGCTGTGTGGCTGGCCCCTTCTTTTCTTTCTCCTTGATCTCTTTTTTATCCTTCTGTTATTCTCTCTGCCTGCCAACCCCACCTATCCTTTCTCCTGCCTTGCTATTGACCATTCAGCTCTTTGTTAGACCAATCAGATGTTTTAGGCAGACAAAGTAACACAGCTTCACAGAGTTAAACAAATGCAACATAAAAGAATATAACATATCTTTGCATCATTAAACAAATATCCCACTGCATAAGTAAATATTGCACATCTTCAAATAATAATCCACATCAAACATGTTCCAAATTCCATAATAAAGTATATCCTCACTGGGATTATGGGTTCACGGGGCAGATTCCTAAACCAACAAGGGGCGCTGCTAAAATGAGACCCACCAGTGCGCACCCTAGAAGGACACACTGCAGAATGTGCCTCTGTCGTGGATTGCACATAGGTGCTGGAATCGCTTCTATTGGAAGAATCCTGCAAGGGCTGAGGACACAGTCAAACTCTTGCAATGCCCAGTGTCTTCATACTTAAAACTTCCACTGTTTCTTTGGAAGAACTTTCTCTTTTAAGATTGGGGTTCTCAAACTGAGGTCTATGAATTAAGGTCCAGATCTATGCACTTCAAATCTATTTTCAATGACCTTGACTGAGCCTTAGTGTCTCTTGACTAATAACACAGAAAACCACTGTGGTGTCACTGTCCTGTCCCTCAGCTTGTCATCAATACAAATGCAGATATTTGTGCATTGCTCCACAGTATGTATGTGTGTGTGTGTGTGTGTGTGTGTGTGTGTGTGTGTGTACTGTTGTTGCAATTGTAGTAGTTATGAAGCTGGATACTATTTCTTCTTTAACATATTTCCTATAGCCCCAAAATAATTTTATGTTTTAGCAACTGGTTTTCAATATAGCTAGTTTCTTATGTATTCTGAAAAGAAGTCTATAAGCTTCATAGGACTGCTAAAGAGACCATGGGATTAAAAGAGTTATCCATTGCTCCACCTCCAACCACTCCAAAGTGTAGTTCTGTAAAACAACCATTTTACTGCACGGCCGTTTTGTGCGTTGGGACTTTGAGTGGGCACAACTGAGCACCTTGGTTCTGGTTGTAAACAGGCCATCCTGGAAATGAGTCCTAGCCCGAATTAAGTGCTCAGATACTGCAACCCTGGTCAGTATCTTCACCAGCTTAGGGACACTAAGCCAGGACCTCTCACCTGAGCCGCTGCTAAATTCCTCACTCCCAGAAACTGCAGGGATAACGTATGATGGTTTGGAGGGATCTGTTATGAATCAGTAGGTAACAACACGTGATCAATAATGAAATTACAAATAGTTCAAAGATCTCAAAATGCCTTTTAACCCATTCCTGACCTGTGTGGTGCACAGCTGCCCCACTGGGCTTTTCTATTTATGTGTTTCTTTTATAATGAACCTAATATAGATAAATGTAACATAAGTATACATTTTAGAAGCATATGATTTTTAAGTGATATGTTGGAAGAAAACTCAAGTTCCTTCACTGGCCACATCATTTCATCCCAAGTTATACTAGGAGCCCAAACAACCTCTGCTGTGCAATTCCATGAAATCTTAACCCTAACACAAGGACACTCACCATGTTCCCAGCTGTGTTCTTGGAAGCCTCGTGTGCTGCCGTCCTGTTTCAAACCTTGATTTAGATCAAATCCAGGTGCCAGAGACTCTCCGTCAGAACATGACCCTTGGGAGAAAGCGGGGGGCGGGGAGGGAGAAAGGCCCGTGAGAACTCAGAGAAGTGATCTCACTAACCCGGCCATACCAGCCTTTTACAGGAAGTGCCTTGTCTCCGTCTTCCTACACATATTGTGTCAACTCCATCACTACATGAGAGAGATAGGGAAGATGAAGAACGTCCAAGTCCCCAAGCTCATCAACAAACACAACGAGTTTGGAGTCATGCTTTCTATATTGACAGTTGACACATAGGTTAATATACCGTATTATTACAATGAGTTATAGTAAATCTATTAATTCATCTGTGCTACCTATGTGTCTATCTTGGGAGTCTAGTCTGGTGCTGCCTATTGGAAACTTAACGTAAGCCACATAAACTACCTTTAAATTTTCTAGCAGCTACATATTTTAAGTTTTTCATACTAATTATTTGGAAGCCATAATCTATTTTGTCCTTGTGTATATCTCAATTTAGACGAACTTCAAGTGCTCAGTAGCCATACACAGTGGCTGCCAGAGTAGGTAGAATGGGCCTTACTCTTTCCTTGTTAGATGGATAGTGGGCTTTTTCTAGTCTCTTACTGTTAAAGTATGTGGAATGGCTATACATTCTTCTTTTAAATGAGCCCTTCCTCTAGTTCTCCAATAGCACCCTGAGAGAGTGGCTGTCAGTTTTCACCACGCCATATTAGTCTATATGATACAGTGGTGACTCGTGTATCTCGACCACTAACCAGAGGCAGGGAGGGCACCACGCTCTTATTTTCTCCTCCAGCATCTGTTGGCTTTAACTGAATAACAACTGACTCCGTGTTATTCTCTATAGATGTTGAAGAGCCTGATAATGAAGCCGAGGAGGAGGTTGAGGGAGAAGATTCTGAAGCCCATGAAGAGCCTGAGGCTCCTGAGATGCAAGAGGAAACCCGAGGGTCGCTGATACCTGAGGAGTCTGAAGCTGAGGTCCCGGAAGCTGAGCATGAGCCTGAACCAGGTTACACTTGACTGACGGCTCTGTGTGTGTGTGTGTGTCCGCATGCGCGTACATGTGTGTACACACATGCATGAGCGAGTATGCGTGGGTGTATGAGTGTATGCAAGTGTGAGTGTGTGTGTGTACATATGTGTGCATCTGCACACTCTGGCTTGTGGCGGTCAGAGGTCAACTTTCTGGAGCTCAGACTGTGAACAACAGTCCCGTGAGGAACTGAACTTTCTGCTGTCTAATGATTGGCCCAGACAATCTGGCTCTGAACATTAAGAATTTTCTACAGTCACTGTAGCTCTCGTCAGCTAATCAATCATGCCGAAGGGTCAGTTCTTCCCATGACTTCTCTGATGCCCGCTCTGCTCTTTGTGTGATAACCACTGAACTAAACGTGTTCTGTCCGTCAGCTCTGCTTCAGACACCTCTGTGTCCTACTCTTCTGCATATTACATGCACATATACACATGAATCCATATCTGTCTTATATTCCATCATGCGGCTGAGATTCTGGCAGCCTTGGTGCCGTCTTTCTGCCTGCGCTCTCACGAGTGTGACTGTGTCTGTTTAGTCTCGGTTCTATTGCCGTGAAAAGACACCTTGACCAAGCCAATACTTACAAATATTTATTTTAACCTCAAGTATGTGCCACAAACCTCAAATTACTGTCTGTTTTTATTTTGTGCTGAAGATTCGATTTCTGTCCTTTGGGTTCGAGACTCCCAATCTTACATACAGTCAAGAATTAAAAGCACAAGGGATGGGTTAACTTTAGAACAGGAATGGGGGAGAGCAGAGTTTGCAAGGATTTTTTATCTTTTCTTTGGATAATATTTTTATCTATTATATATTAAGACTTTTTTGCTGCTGCCCTGCAGAGCCAGCTCTGAGATACTCTTGAGGACTGAATTACTCTCTAGTCTGAGAGATGTTTATTTATTCAACTCAAAGCCCTACCCAAACTGGGGAGGGAGGGACAAGAGAGAACCTTTGTCTTCTCCCCTCTCTCTCACCTTCTCCTGCAGGCCTCTGCCTCTTAAAGCAGCTCCCTTTCACTATCACATTGTCCGCTACAAATGCCTGTCCCTGGGCTGGCAGTGAGCTCTGAAGCCTTCTTCACAACTTGATTTAAACTTTTTCACTCTATGATCTTTCTAGAGGTTTTCAGGACTTTGGTGATCTTAAACCTGTCCAAACTTCACTTCCTAAATTTTAAGGACTTTAATAAAAATTTTACATTGAAAGTGCTGGCGCCAAAGAGATGAGTCAGCAGTTAAGAGCCCTTGCTGCTCCCACAGAGGATCCGGATTCAGTTCCTAACACCCACACTGCAGCTCACAACTTCCCATAATTCCAGTTCCAGAGGATTCAACACCCTCTTCTAGCCTCCAGTTCAATTACAGATATGTAGACAAAATACTAACATGCATGAAAATATTAAATAATCCTTTTAAAAGAAAAAGGTTTAAGTTGAAGGCATCATATGTAGTCACCCAAAGAACTTCCCGCATCTTGTCAACATCTGGGCTTTAATGCCTGACTCTGTCTGCTGATCTGTTTCCTGGATTTTTTCCCCTTCACCCTTTGTTGTCCTGTGAAGTTAGTTAGTGAAAGAAATGATGCATTTCCCCAACCCCATGCCATAGATGAATTTCAAGTCTTATTGTAATTGTTCCGGCTTTTAAAAACACAGAAACCCTCTCAAGTCCAAAGATTAAATAGGCATCTCAAAACTCTCTAAGTTTATTCTCTCACGGTCTCAGTGGTCTTCTACTGGTCATGATTTATAGTGTTTCATTCAATGAGCAATTTATAATTACACATGTTACCCACAAAACTCTTGGGTTTATCCCTTTTCTACTTTCTGTTCTAATATAAGCTTAAGTACTATAGATCCTACTGAAAGCGTACTAAAGTATTAACTCAGAAAACAGTATTATATGATTATGTATGTATATATGTGTGATATACATTCATATGTATATATAATCTTCATAAAATGTGTATCTTAGAATTGGGAGCAGACTTGGGGACTTTGGGGTGAGAAGATATGTAAGTTGTCTGGGCTGGATATGTGTGTGAAGGGTGTCTTGTGTCATGGAGCTTCACAGCCTGTCCCTTTGAAGGTGAAATCGCTGGGACTCTCTTCAGGTTCCCCTCCCACTCCTGCACGGCTGTCCTCACCACTTGATACTCTTAGTGTATCCTCAGGGGATAGTTTAGAGAGAAATTAATGAACGGTCAGACATTAGATCTGACTCCACAATAATGGGGTGTAAAAACACTTAGGAGTCACCAGGATGGTGTGTGCCATGTGTTCACTGTTATTCTAGAGGTCTTGGTGGGGAAGCTGTGCATGCATGTGGTACGTGTGCATAGTGCGTTGGCACACCTGTACGTGAGTGTGCACGTGTGAGAGGGGAGGGAGGACTTTGGGTGTCTCCTTCTATCACGCTCTTCCTCATTGCCGCCAGTCATGGTCTGTCGATGAGCCAGATGTTCACCTTTTGGCTAGATTGTCTGTCCCATGAGCTCTCAGAGCCTGCCCAGCTCAGCTCCTCGGTGCTAGGGTTACAAGCACACACAGCCATGCTCGGGTTTAGATCTGAGTACTAGGGATTCAAGCCCAGGCCCTTGTGCCGCAAAGCAAGCATCTTTCCAGCGGAGAAGGCCGTTCCAGCCCTTCGATGTCCTTTTGTATATTTAAGTTTTCATTTTCTGCCTTGTACTCTATTTTCCCACCATCCTTTTAAAAAATCTACATTTTCAATTAGACATACCATCTGTAATCTTTGGGCCAACACTTTCATACAGAGTAACATTTTAAAATTCAAGCACTCACTTAGATTTCTTTCTTAAGTCCCTGAGCCTCCTGAGGAAACTGCTGTTGAAGCCGAAATTCCAAAGGAACCCAAAGAGGTCATGGAACCTGAAGAAGCAACTGAAGCAGGTTAGTCCAGAAAATATAAATTCCCATTTGTAGAAGTGTTTTCTAACAGATCAAACCTTAAGTCGGGCCACAGTCTCTGCTTACTTCTTGCTACGCTGTATGTCAACTGTCTTAGGGTTTCTACTGTGACTAGGGCAACTTTCATAAAGGAAAGCACTTAATTGGGGTGACTTACAGTTCCAGAGGTCTAGTCCACTGTCATCATCGTGGCCCATGACAGCATGCAGGCAGACATGGTGCCAGAGAAGGCCGCGAGTCCTACATCTTGAAGGCAACTGTCTATCACACTGAGTGTAGACTGAGAAAAGGAGACCTCAAAGTCCACCCCACAGTGACACACTTCATCCTTTAAGGCCACATACTCCAACAAAGCCACACCGCCTCATGTGCCTCTCCTTCTGGGGGCCATTTTCTTTCATACTACCACACTCTACTCCCTGGTCCCCAAAGGCTGGTAGCCACGTCATAATGCTAAAATGCATTCAGTCCAGTTTCAAAAGTCTATATAGTCTATAACAGTCCCAAATGTATTTAAAAGTCTAAAGTTCAAAGTCTCTTCTGAGATTCAAATAATCTCTCAACTGTAATCCCCTGTAAAATAAAAATCAAAAACCAAACCACATACTTCCAACGTATAATGTCACAGGATATACATTACTGCTCCAAAATGTGGAGAAGCAATCAGAGCGAGGACATGCTGGACCACAGCAAGACTGGAAACCAGCTGGGCAAACTCCAAACTCTGCATCTCTGTGTCTGATGTCATATGCTCTTCAGAGCTGCAGCTCTGTTCGGCTTTGTTGACTGCAACACGCTTCTTTCTCTCGGGCTGCTTCCACGCCCCGCTAGCAGTTCTCCTTGTCAGTATCCCATGGCTCTCCAAGGCAAACCAGGCTTCACCATCACAGCTTCACACAGTGGCCTCTCTGGGACTCAGTCCAGGGACACCCTGACACGTGCCTGGTCCCAGAGGCTCTCCTTGGTGTCAGAGAAAGATTCCATAATCACGTTCTTGCATCCTTGACTCTAAAGCCAGAACCACGTGGCCTGCGATGCCAAGCACTGCTGCTTGTTGGGACAGGAACATGTCCTCTTGTTCAATAACATCCTCACCAGCTTTCTGTTTGCCATGATTTCCTTCGCTGCCTAAGCCTGGCTGTCCTGGAACTTGCTCTGTAGAGCAACTCCAGAGATCCACCAAACTCTGCCTCCAAAGTGCTGGGATTAAAGGTGTGCTCACCACCTCCAGCTCTGAGTTTTTATTTAATCCCTTTTCACAAACTGGAAACCTAGCTGGGTGGGACCTTGCCCTCAGGCCACCACTCCCTGTTTTCCATTTCTTAATCTGTTTATCTCCTTGAATGTAATATTTAGCTTCATTCAACTTCCGGTGCTCCTTTTCTCCTCAAATTTACTATTTTGTGTTTTTCCTTGCTCAGTTAGTTCCTTTTCATTATAACTCTTTACTAGAGTTAACATCAGTAACCACATGGCAGAGTCAATACTAGCTGTTTTGAGATTCCCTCTATCAATAGAATTAATCCAAATCTCTTCACTTTAACCTCAGGCAGACTCTTCTGACAAGGAGAAAAAGTAGATGCATTCTTCACCAAAGTATCCCAAAAACAATCTGGCCACAAATTAATATTCTTTCTGAAAGCGCTGGAGCCAGGCCCCCACAGTTCAAACCACACTCAGCACCACTGTCCCCATGTGGTGTCTCCCTACTATTGGCCCATTAAGTGGCACTTACTGCATTTCCTCTGCTTTCATAACCCAAACTCCCAAAGTCCAAATTCCTCCAAACGAAAGCCTGGCCAAGCCTATCACAGCTATCCCCTGTCCCTGGTACCAACTTCCGTCTTACTTAGCATTTCTATTGCTGTGAAGAGATCCATGACCAAGGCAACACTTACAAAGGAAAACATTTAATTGGGGTGGCTTACAGTTTCAGAGCTTCAGTCCATTATTGCCACAGCTGGTGGCTTGGCAACCTGCAGGCAGACATGGTGCTGGAGGAGGAGCTAAGAGTCCTACCTCTTGATCTGCAGTCAACAGGAAGTAAACTTTTTACCACACTGAGCCTAGCTTTAGCAAAGGAAGCCTCAAAGACAACCCCCACAATGACACACTTCCTCCTACAAGGCCACACCTGCTTCAGCAAAGCCACACCTCCTAATAATGCCACTCACTGTAGGGGCAATTTTTCTTTCAGTAAATAAATATGAATTATATTTATTTATGTCAATCCATTAAAAGTATAATTATTCAGTTCATAATGCTCTTTCATCTAGTTTTATGCTTTGCATCAACAGCTAAAGTTTCCATATGAAACTCACTCATTGCCCATACAATTTGAATTCTATTAATAGGTAACTATTCATCTAAGAGCATATAAAATAAGATTAGAATATACATTTATAAATTTATATTAATGTTCACAATGCTACGTTTCTTCTTTGAATGTTTAAAACACATAATAAAGTATAGATTCTTTTGTAGTCTGATGGAGATAGGCTTCTCAAAGCCTCTTTTTTTTTTTCTCTTTGAACTTCTAAAGTTATGCTGCCGGAGTTCCCAGAGGACGCTTACCCCAGTGTTCCTGAGATGGAGCCACTGAAGGAAGAGCTGAATAATTACCTCCTCATGTGGAAACATACGGAGCAGATCATTACCGACAATCTGATTCAAATATTAACATTGGATATTTCCAACAAAACACCAAAGGAACTGCTTCAAAAAGTAGTTGAGACAATGGAAAGTAAGGCTCAAAGCACTTTTATGGCTTTTCTGTTTATGGTGAAGGGCAGACACTGAAAACATTCTAGGCCCTGAAAGCCTGCTCTGATGGCTTCCCAAGTAAAACATTCAGAATATCTGGAGATAACATATAAGACATTCTAAAAGTATCGTAAATAATGCAGACTCTGGCCAGTCAGAGCGGGCATGGGGCACACTGTCACCAGTCATGATGTGTGGTTCTCACAGAGAACTTGCACACACATCAAAACTGTCTGTCAATAATAATAATTAATGTTTCTAACTTTTGACTGTTATAATACACTGATAACTTGTTCTAAAATCTCTTTCCTTTTTAAAAATGACAGAGCCTTTTCAGTATACTGCATGGGAACTGAATGCTGAGGATTACGATGAAGAAGCAGAAGACTACCAGGCAGAGACCGAAGTCGACGAGGAGCAGGAGGAAGAGGAGGAGGAAGAAGAGGAGGTAGGGCTGCTTCTGCACTGTTCAATCTCATGGGCCATTCCTGAGAGATGTGTGTGTCCGGAGTAGTAACTGACACTTCGGGATCTCCCTGCCAGGTGAACAAACAGGCATCTCCAATTTTTTTTACTCTCTGTATATTTTAATTTTTCAGAACTAGGGCCTTATGCATGCTGGGCAAGTGCTCGACCACTGAGCTGCATCTTCACCCCATCCTCAACTTTAATTCTCCTTTGCCCCAGCTTCACTTGACTCTCCAAAATGCTACTTAATGTGAAGAAATGGCACCCATGAAAATATAAGGAGGAAATCCTTTTACTTTTTTTTATGCAGAAAAAAACTATGCAAGTATTAGGAATAGAAGTATTTTATAAAGTTCATATAAGTAGGTGTGTGAAAGCCACCTTTGGAGTGTCTGGAGGGCTGTCCACATGACAATAATCCCAATGCTCAGCAGGATCCACCCAGATTCAAACACCAATCCACATCATTGGCACCAGAATGGTAACAACCATTCTCATTGAAAATTCCCAGACTAGGTATATATCAACAATAAAACAGGAAATTGTCCTTTCAATATGAGTTTTCACAAATAAAAATATAATTTACTAGGTTAAATAAGTTAAGCAAATCTGCGATTGTAGTTAACTTATTATTGCCTAATTTCAACCCAAAGATATAGGAGTGTGTGGCTATAGCAGCAGATGATTTGTGGTGGTTTCTGTTGACACCTTCCAGTACTTTATCACCAAGGAACTGATGTTCGCGTGGCTTAAAGACGTGGGATTTCCCTGCTCATCCTCGGTCTCTCTTCTTCTAACTTTCTCTGTAGTGTTCTACTGTGTGCTCTTCCGTGCTCCCTCTGGGCTGCAATGATATTTCTTATCTTAGAATATTCCTGAATTTCAAATAAATGAATACTTTCATGCATGGCATGTGTTTATATGAGACAGTTAACTTTTACCTGAAGAACCTGGGGTTTTATTCTTACTCATTAAGTCTAGCAACTCTACAGTAAGTATATTTACTGAAAACTCGGGAAGACTGGAAAAAATTAAGCACTCAGCTAAAGATAATAAAAATAAGCAGAACAGAATAAGCCAAAAGAAATGAGACCAATGAAATGGGGAAGCAATGAAAGCAAGGGATGAAAAACAAAAGGTTGGTTTCGTGACAAGAGCAGGAAGTGGCTGAACTTCTGGCGGGCTGAAGCGAAGGCAGTGAACAGCGCTGTAAACAAAACTAGTGTACGGCTCCTCGCAGGGCTCTGTTTGGATTACAGGCTTGAGCATCCAGAAAGGATTCACCCAATTTCTTTCCTGAAACTGACTTAGGAATAAGGAGAAAAACTTTATTATGAAAGTTAAACATCATAAATGTAACAGAAGAGGTGTATATGCCGCTTCTAATCCATACCTGCCACACCAACTCCAGTGTCGTCTGTGTGACATGACATATGTCATTATGCCGGATGGGAGCTACTTGTGCTATGGGACTAGGCTTCCTTGAGGTCAATGGCAGACGGCCCAATATTGGCTGCCCCTGAGGCGTAGACAAGTTTCTCAATTAGCTGGCTATGTGGGATGTGGTCTTTGCACAATCTCTTTTATAATGATGATATTCTATATATCTACAAGACAAGGATTATCTCTTCAGGAACAGCTCTGGGGTAGGGAAGCACAGTATGGGAATGTATAAGACTACACACACAGAGCCGGGTGATGGTGGCGCACGCCTTTAATCCCAGCACTCAGGAGGCAGAGGCAGGCGGATCTCTGTGAGTTCGAGACCAGCCTGGTCTACAGAGCTAGTTCCAGAACAGGCTCCAAAACCACAGAGAAACCCTGTCTCGAAAAACCAAAAAAAAAAAAAAAGACTGCATACACGGGGTGTATGATGAGCAAGGGAATAGATGGGTTAACGTTGATGGACAAAGAGTTTTATATTATACACTGAACTTTATGGATAGGCTTGCTAGATCCCAACCCCCATGGTGTCTGCTGCATAAGAAGGTACTAAAAAGTATATTTCAGCAGGTACAGAGAGCTGATTAGGCATATTTGGTCACTAGATGAGATAAAGGGTTAGGAAGAGGAAAGGCCATGATAGCAATAATGAGACAGAAACTTTCTATTCATAAGATGAAACTACTTGTCTGAGGTTTACATTCCCAAGGACAAGATTTCCTCCCCTAAGGATGTTTTATGTCTCACACCTGTTCCTGATAATACATTTTTCTTAAAAATCGCTGATGTGACTAAAAAAAGGCTTTCATACTGTGCCAAATGATGACATCTGACCTTCTGATTTGTTCTTTGTTTGATTACTATATAATGAAAACATGAATTCAGTAAAATCACAGCAGATTCCAACCACTCTCTTGTGTGTTTTGTCTGTCTGTCATTCGCCGAACTTGTGCCTTCCTGATTAGTAAGACCCTGTTTCTCCCAAAGTCTGAGTGGTTCCCCTGAGCCTGTCCGTGGCGCATACCCACTGACAAGACGATTCTTACATTGTCTTAACTCTTCCACATCCTAGACAGGAGTCAGCAATTCTCAGCTCTTTTGTTTGGAAGCAAGATCTCTGTTTAGCTCTGACTAGCTGGGAACTCACCATGTAGATCAGGTTGGCCTTGAACTCACAGAGGTCTACTGGTGAGTCTTGGCATTAAAGGTGGGCACCACCATGTCCACCTTATTAGTCTGAGTTTTGGAGCAGAGCAGAAAAGTGTTGGGCTTTCTTCTTTTGTGAACATAATCACACTGTAGAATAATCTGCAAAATATCCCATTTCAAGTTTCAAAACGGCCGCATTTGTGCTTAAATATATGCCTAGCTTTTATATGTGCAGAGATATTTAGCAGAGCGAGGGAGCGCTTATGGGAATGGGAGGAGTGTATGCACGCTGGCGGAAGGAGAACCAGAGGGAAACATCACTCTTGATACACTGATGTGTTTAAACATTTTATAGCAAGTAAGTGTTGAATGTCTTCCTGTGGCTTTAACTAATTCCCAAAAATCCTTTACACATTCATCACAGTATAAATTTTCATTTGTACCTAATAAAATATTTTCAAGTTTTTACTTCCAATAGAGCGAAGCATACTGCCACCTAGTCACTGTCGTGAGTAAGGTGTGACTCTGACTCAGGTTTCAGCCCTTGAGAATCGAGGTCAGCACCTCTCTTTGTCTAGAGGGCAGAGCACACCTTAATTCTCAGTGCTACTTTATTTTTTTATGAAAATGAAAAATGTAAGAACCAATTTAGAGGAACGTGAGCAACTTGCTTTTAATTCATTAACTATATAAAGACGGCCCTGTGGGCTTTTTCAGAGTTGGTTTTCTTGTAGACAATTTAGTCCTAAAAATGCTTCTGAATTCCTCTTTGCTGCTGCATCAAAATGTCTTTGCTCATCTCTGAATTGAACAATATTTCTAGGGTGAAGAAAAGTTAAAAGAAAAAAGGAGGCACTTGGGAGACACCAAACACTTCTGCCCAGTGGTTCTCAAAGAAAACTTTATTCTGCAGCCTGGCAACACAGACGAGGCTGTTAAGTACCGAGAAAAGATATACTACTTTTCAACTGCTGAGGCCAAGGAAAAGTTCCTGGAGCATCCTGAGGAGTATGTGGCCCAGAACGAGCCATTAAAGGTGAAAACAATATTCCTATGCTAGTGGTTGCTCCACGTTCTCCCATGAGTGTGCTTTAACAGTGAAGTTTCTAATCTCATTAAACAACAACAGCAAAACATGATAATGTCTAGGCTTAAAAATAAACTCTTTGTAGCATGAATTTTAATTGGTCTTAATAATAAAAACCCAGAGTCAGATATTAGGGAGTGAAAGCTGGGAGAGGAGAGAAGTCCTGCAGCCAGTCACTAGAGAGACCTTTAACCTCTGCTAATCCTCAGACCAAAGGGGCAATCCTGTCCTCAGACTGCAGCTCAAACTGCAGCTCCAGGCTGCACTGAGCTCCTGTCTCCTCTGCCTTATATTCCCCTCTCTCAGCCCAGCCATATCCCTTCTGTCTCCACCTCCGTAGTGCGGGGATTAAAGGCGTGGGATTGTGTGAGCTCTGTTTCTCTTATAGACTCTATCAATCTCGTGTAACTCAGGGTGGCCTTGAACTAGCAGAGATCCCTCTGCCTGTCTCCCGAGTCCTGGGATTAAAGGTGTACACCATCACTGCCTGGCCTCTAGTGGCTTAGCTCTGCACTCTGATCTTCAGAAAAGCTTTATTTGTTAAAACACAAACAAGGTATCACTACAGCTTTTTGCAATATGGCATAAAAATAATGATCTGTTTTGACTTTTATAGTAATGTCTTTGTCAAACCAGCTCTTGTATCTTTTTTACTTGATATTTGGGTTGCAAATAGAGGCTGGAGAGCTGACTCAGGAGTTAGAGCACTTGTCGCTCTCTCAGAGGATCCTAGTTCAGGTCCCAGAAACGGCATGGCAGCTCACAACCATCTGGAACAGTTTACAATTAATATGTAACAAGTGTACATATAATATCTTACAATCTAATTTTTGCTTACACAAAATGTGTGAATTCCTACACAGCTTGCCTAATACTCAACCACTTTGACATCTAATTCACTGATAGACTTTTTCATAGTTATTTTCCATTGTAGACATTAAGTGATAATTAATGGGTAATTTATTCTCATGTATTCTTTCATTACTATAATTCTCTGTAATAGGATAACTGGATCAAGGTGTGATGTATTGCACCGTTAATTTTTTTTACTTTTTCTATTTATTTACTTATTGTGTGTGTGTGTGTGTGTGTGCAAGTATGCACATGCCACAGCACACCTGTGGAGATCAGAAGACAGCCCTCAGGAGTTGTTTTTCTCCTGTCTCCATATGGGATCCAGGAATCGAGTTAAAGTCTGCACACAAGCACACTACCCCTCAAGTCTTATTGCCTTTTCTTCTCTTTCGTTCTTTCTCTTTTTTTTGTTTGTTTTGTTTTGTTTTGTTTTGTTTTTTTGAGACAGGGTCTATTTATTTTGCCCTGGCGTTCACTATGTAGATCAAGTTGGTCTCAAACTTACATGGAATCCCCTGCCTCTGCCTCCTGAATGCTGAGATTAAAAAAGGGGTGTACCACCATGCCAGCCCTATCACCTGGTTTTCCACAAACCCAACCAAACAGGACCTAGAAACTCTGAAGGTAATTTCTCCGTTCTTCTCTGCAACATAAAATGCTTTGGGATTGCAAGGAACATGGTTGTTCTTAAAATGTCCCCCAAGTCTCCCTAATATGTTATATTTGATTCACAGTGCAATGTTTGAGCTTCTTAGCATTTTCTACATGTTTTGCTCTTGTTGTTGTTGTGGTGGTGATGGTAGTGGTGGGAGTGGTGTTGGTATTGTTGGAGGATGGCCTTTGAATTCTCTATGCAGCCAAAGATGGCCGTCGCATCCCACATGCTGGGATTACAGGCACACCCACCACAGCTAGCTCATGCTGTTCTGGGAACTGAACCCAGGTATCAAGCACTCTGTCACCTGAGCTCCCTCACAGGCCCCTTCGAAGCCTCTGAACTCCCACCGTTTCCATCACAACAACAAATGCTTCTGAGTCTCAAAGTCATCCGTACCCCTCTCTCACAAACGCCTCTGCTCCTCTGAGGCCCAGATACCCAAATACACCAGCATCTTCCCCAGGGTTTTAAAGTCATTTCCCCATGGTCCCGTGAGCCGTGGCTGCTGCTTCGCCTCAGCTGTCGCCGTCAGGGAAGGACCACATCATCCAGCAAAAGCTGGCTTTGGGCTTCCTCCATTTCAGTATGGACATCACAGGAATTAGTGGCAAGATCTTTGAATGGAATGGGCTTTTTCTTTGGTAGAGAGATCTTCTTAAACATATCAAGAAAAAGTCTTTCTATTCCTTATTAACATCAAAATAGTTTTCAGGTGAAGTTACTTTTTATTAAATGCCTTTTGGCTGGTTTTGCCCCCTAAAAGCCATTTTTAGTGCAATGAATTATTATGTTCATCGATATCCTTATGCCTAAATATAATTGGATTTGTAAAATAAACTTTCTTGTCTATGGGAGGCTAGAGAGATGGCAGGAGCAGTTAAGAAAAGATACTGCTTTTCAGAGGACCTGGGTTTGATTCGCATGTTGGGTGGCTCACAACCACCTATAACTTCATCTATTGGAGCTGGAGAAATGGTTCACCCAGTTAAGTGCACCTGTTGCCTTTTCAGAGGACCCAGGCTCAATTCCCTGCACCACATGTCTGTAACTCCAGTTGCAGGGGATGCCCTGCCCTCTTCTGAGTCCTTGAGCATCAGGCAAACACACGGGGCGTGCACCCAGGCGATGTACATAAGATAAAATTTAAAAATCACTTAAAAAAGACTTCCTTTCTCACCTTTTTACTTTATTTTCCTTTTTTGGTAGGGAAGAGGAGGTTGCTTTCTCTTGTGAGGAAAGTCTCTATGTGCCCCTCTGGCCGTAGTGCTGGGGTTACAGGTGTGAATCGCCACCAGGCAAATTACTTAAACCCTCTTTTCCTTTCCTCTGCTCCACCCTCTCCGTGCGGCCCTCTATGGCAGGCTCCTCCCATCAGGCTCTGTCTTCTGGGTCCCCGTGGCTCCGGCAGAACTCATTGCGCCAGAATATTGGCAGAAAACTTCGGCGTTTTTCACATTCAGTTTGATGAATTTCTCCAAGAAAAAATGCTGCTCAAGGCTGAAAGGAAATTCGGGCCCGAGTTTGAGGACGATTCCGAGGAGGAGCAAGCCACAAAGCAAGAACTGGAAGAGCTTGCCGTTCAGGCGAACGTGAAAATTGAAGAAGAAAGCACAAAGAAGCAGGTGACGTGGTGGTGTCCCTGGGGGGCGCTGTGTTTGCTGCGGAAGCTGGTTTGTAGCAGGCGGTTCAGGGCAAAGTTCGAGCTGCAGCAGCCACCGCAGGCTAGACTCAGTTACCGTCCCAGGATGCCAGCTAGAGAGACCTGCCTGCTACAGTCATGTGCACAGATAGAGGGGTCCGGTGAACCCCCAGGTCATCTTTGGGGTCCTGACCCACGTGGTTTAAGCAGTCCTGGTCAAGGTGTAGTCTGGTGACGGGTATCTCAGCTTTGTTTCTGCACTATGGTCCAAAGAGCCCTTATTGTTTGAGGGGAGACACTATGGACGACCACACGGCCCCAGGGAGCAGTGTGAATAATGGCCCTCGTCGGGTGGTGGTCTGTTCCAGGAATCCAAGGTGACTGCAGATTTAGCACAGTGACTTTCAGGAACCTCTGGGGAGCCTAGAACAGGAAACTGTTTAAAAAAAAAAAAATAAGATGCATCCTTTATTTTTGTGTGCTTTCATCTTTTAAAGGGAATGAAATAGGTTAAAATGTAACATTTCTAGGTTGATCCTTCAAGTGAGGAGCCTGCCTGTGTGTGGAGGTGAGTTGTGGGAAATGACCACGGGCGCCAGACTCAGTCCTTCTCATTAGCCTGTGAGCCCAAGTGAGAAGCCAACTCCTTTTCCTGAAAAGCAGCATCTGTGTGTCTGTTATACAATCATAGCAACTTCAAACTAGAGAGGAGGAGGAGGAGGAGGAGGAGGAGGAGGAGGAGGAGGAGGAGGGGGGGGGGGGGGCGGGGGGGGGGGGGGGGGGGGGGGGGGGGGGGGGGGGGGGGGGGGGGGGGGGGGGGGGAGGAGGAGGAGGAGGAGGAGGAGGAGGAGGAGGAGAGGAGCCATCACAAGGCACCCTCTCCACTGTGATGTATAAACCCGCTTCTCCCCCAGCGTAGGAAATACTGAGTCTTACCTGACCCTGAAAGTCGGGAAAGTGACTCCCACGCTGAGTGGTGGTGCAGCACATAGGTGGGGCATTCAACTGTGCGTCTGAGCTACTTGTATGTTCTTCATTATCCATTTGAGTGTCACCTTCAGAGAAAGATGACCTAAGTTCTTCATCTTAATATTTTCTCTCTGTTACTATGAAGCTATATGCCCTTCTAGAATGTGCTTCAGGTAACTGTCTGGTTGGCTCATCCTTTAATCAGGATGGAACTGTATCTCCTTATAGGAAAAATGGCACAAATCAGGTAAGTTTTGTGATATGAATCAAGCAAATTTTTGTGCAAAACAATAATAATAAAGATGCATTATGACTCTGACACCGTACGCGAAAGTCAATCATGTTGCCATGGTGACTACTCTTAGTTAAATTAGGTAATTTTTATTACTTAATCATATTATATATCAGTGCACAGAACTCAAGTTTTTAAAATGTTTTCAAGTAACAGTATCAAAAGTGGCCTCAGAAAAAGCTCAGGTCTCATTCTAGCAGTGGTGTAAAACAGTATTGCTTATCAATGCGGAGCTCAAGACTCCTCTTATTTTATAATTTTCATTTTTAGCTTCCAGATGTGCAGTTAGCAGAAGAGGAGGAGGCAATCAAGCTGAGTCTGACAGAGAATGAGCCCCTGACGTCGGAAGTTCTGGACCCCATGCTTTCCGAGTGGTGGCTTAAAGAACCGATGCGGTGGGTGCCTCCGTACACAGGGGTTATGTTTCTCGCTGCTTTTCATTTCCTTTGTTCCGAACGGCCAAACTATAGTCTAATTTGTACGTACAAATTTGCTCTTCTTCATCTATATAAACTACACATCAAAGCATCCATGGAGCTTTTGAAAAACACTGAAGCCAGAGACACACGCCAAAGCTTTTAAACAGAATCTGCTGAGGTTTGAGACCAGGATCCAGGCCCTGGCACGTCTTTAGGGTCCCCAGATGATCTTAGTGCACATTTGTAGTTGCGAACTATTTTCTAAGTCTGCTGGGGACTGGCCTCAGCAGAGAAGTGGGTCTCGAGCCTGGGATGTCCAGAAGGTGAAGTGAGTACATGAATCCAGGATCCTGATGCAAGTTGACAAGCCATCAGCTGCAGGGCAAGTTCTTCTGCCCCGAGCTTCAAACCTCAGCCTTTTATTGTAAACTTTACACAAGGAAAATGATTGTTTTTTCTTGCCGCACAAGCAGTATAAAGATACTTTGAAGTCAGAACATCATCACTCATTATGACATTTTCCCAGTTCCCAAGCCCCACGCCAGCCACTATATTCTAATTCTTAGCCGAGTTAATCATAAAACAGCTTCTGAGGCTTTCACCGCAGAGGCTAACTACCTGCAGTTTACAGGAGCACAGTTCAGCGGGTTTCACTCCATTGTCGTCCCTTTCCCATTGTTGCTCCTCACATTTCCAACTTTGATGTATAAGCCCATAGGCAGTCAGCCCTACAGCCCTAGGTTCTCAGAAACTTTATTCATCATAACCAAGTTCTTTTCTGTTTCAGTATAATTCTTTTGCCAAGTTTTATAATCAGGCAAAGAACAGTTTTTGCATTTTCCCCAAGTTCCCCCAATTCTTTCATTAGTCAGGTTTCCCCCCCATGACCTGCTTTACAGCGTCAATGCCTGCCCGCTCTATCAGATCAGGAAGACTCAGATTATCATACAGCACATCCATATTTTCAGAAGCCACTGGTGTGGAAGGAGAAAAAGCACATGAAGGACAAGTGCACTAGTAGAATTGCTATAACCAGAATCAGCTGTAACATTGCCAAGTGCGTATGCAGACAACATAGAAGCCGTCCTCGGGGCGCATAGGCGTTCTCTCCTTGGCCCTCAAGTAACACGCTCATTTAGCTGCCACTGGGTTGCCTGGAGGGAATTGCTTCCTGCATCTCAGGAACCGCAGGCAGAGGGAGGCTATGCTTTGCTGTCTCCAGCATAAACCCACATACCCTTGTGGTGTGCTGGATTCTTCCGCCTCTATCCTAGTGATGATTACAGCTATGACCGCTGGGTAGCTGTCCACTCTTGGTCCACTAGCAAATGCCTGCAACAGTGTTGACCCACACAGAACAAATCTTCAGGTCCCGGAATTGTTATCTTTTGTCTTTGTTTCTTTTCCTGTTTCGAAGTGGGGTATTCTGCCTTGATATCCTCCAAAAGAGCATGAAATGATATTTACAATCGTGATTGCAGCACAAACACATTTGCAACTTGCTCCACACCAAGTCTGGTCAACTGCGCTTTATTCGAGTCAGCTTCATCTGTATATGGAAACCGATCATGTCACAGCCACTGCTCTTGGCTGTATTAGATACTTTTAGTATTTAATCATATTAAAATTGCTGAATAGGATGGGATAGAAATTCGCATCATCTCAATTTGAAAAAAAGAAACTGAAATACAGAGAAGTTAGATGACTGTTTCTATGCCACGCTGGGCACATTTGTATCTACTGCCTATTCGAAATGGGGGAGCGGGATCAAGTTATCAAGATTTTAAAAATGTCCTTTTTCCCTAAAAAGTAACCCACAGCTTTCTGGTCCTGAGCTGTTCTCCATTAGCTTAGCTTCTCACATCATACCACACAAAGGCAAAAAATAACGTTTTTAAATTAAAAAGGAATAATTTCTGGAGCAGTGGCTCAACAGCTAAAAGAATCAGGACCCAGGTTCGAGTCCCGGCACCCGCACAGCAGCTCACAACCATCTGTAGCTCCAGTTCCAGGGAATCTGATACATAGATATCTCTATAGAGATACAGAGACATGAATTCAATTTAATGTAAAAAGTTACACTATAAAATCTAAATATTGAGTGTTTCACAACCATCACATTTTATTATGATAAAGATTTACAATGGCATGTAATATTATATGATATATATAATATACCATATAATATAGTATATATCTCAGTATGGTAGAAAGGAGCACATGAAGAACTGACTAGAAAGGAAAACCAACCAAAGACAGTAACACCTGGGGTATAGGATAATAGTCTGCAGTTTTATGGTTTTTTTCCCCTCTACTTTGCAATTCTTCTATTGTGAAATGCATTGCTTTTATAAGTGAGGAAAAGGGTTGACTTCCTTTCAGGTTTTTTTTTTCAGTCTACTAGTTTAATTCTAGAAGAGCTACTGAGGGCTAAACTAAGGCAGATGGCAGCAATGAAAGCACAGAGGTACCAACCCTTGGCTCACACAGGACAGTGGGAGGGAGGTGGAGAAGAAACTCGAGGCATCTTGTGTTGCTGAATCTGGCGAAGAGAGGGTTGGAGCGATGAGGGTGATCATGATTGTTGACAGTGTAACCCACAGAGCTTTCCTTCATTGGAAAGTCAAAGCAGGGCTTCGACACTTCTGAATTAAAACTCAGAAGAGCTTTTATGTAGCGGTAAGGACTTGGGAGTTCTTGTCAAAGTGACACCAGGACACCAGGCAAGAAATGGGTCCTCCTAGAAGAGACTAGATGGAAGGCATCGCTGAGGAAAGAGACGACCAGCATGGCCAATTTAGAGAAGATTGCCTACCTTAATAAGAGAGGGCAATTAGCATTTGAGAATGAACTGCGAAGACTGAAACAGTCAGATGTTTATAAGCGTACCATTTTGTTGAGAAGAAGGCGCTTGTATGTGTAAATACAGTAGACATTTTTGGACAACAAGCTCACTCAAAGGCAGATCAAACTGACCTCTCAACAGGAACTCAAAGCCAAGTCCTCAAAGGCTGCTTTATAAGTACAAGATTGAAATCCGTTGGCCTTCTGGTTATCCTCATGACCCTAAGAGTTCTGTCCCCTGAGGCAGAATATGCCTCAGAAAGTACTGTTGGCTACCACGAGACCTGGAGGACTGTGTGAGCTGCCTCGCAGCAGGACGCGTGCTGAGGCCAGTCAAGCGATCCCTTGCTAGGCTGGACACTTCTCCCCAGCAGAGAACTTACTTTCTCTTCTATAACTCTTAGTGAACTTCCAGTTAATAATTATCAACCGGCTGCTACCTGCAACTTTTATATTACAAGCACAAATCTTATTTTAATCAAATTTTATACATCTTGGAAAAATATATATACTCACCTCTTGAACATAAATCTTAACAAATGGTAAAATTGCATACATGCCAAAGAATTGTTTTAAAACAAGTTTACTGTCTCTAAATGTCTGGTTTGTATAGCTATTTTACATACCTGTTTATCCCGGTCACCTAAAAATTTCCCCAAGCCTGAAACTGGCACACACCTTTAATGTCTGCACTCAGGAGGCAGAGACAAGTAATCTTCGTGAATTTGAAGTCAGCTTGGTCTACATAATAGGTTCCAGGCCAGCCAGGGTTATGAGACCTTGTCTTACAATATTATTCATCTGATAAAGTTGAGATTCATCAACACATGTTAAAATCTATAACAGATGCAGAGATAATATGTGGAAGGTCCTTGCTGACACTACAGCAAACAGGGAAAACATCTGTAAAGAGACAAGAAAGAAGCTCGGTTCAGCCCGATTCTGGTAACTGGTGCTGAGCCAAAACTTCTTGGAGTCTGACATGAGCATTTATTTATTTATTTATTTATTTATTTATTTATTTATTTATTTATGGCCATATTTAAGCATAGTACAATTTTGAGAAAAAGTTTTCAGATAACAATCAACTCTGCTCTGCAAGTACAACAAAGCTGAAGACGCATTTACATTGAAGCTCTTCACTGAGTCCGTGTGACTTCATCCCTAAAATGGGCTCTACTGACTGAGAAACAGAGCTCAAGATTAGGGTCCAAGCAGAATGACTGAGATTAATACCATGTCTGGCCCTAAGATAACCCGGAAGTCACCTGGGCTTCTGTAAAGTGTACGAGGTGCCTAGTGTCTCATGACACAGAAGTAGTGCTCTTGGCTTTAGGAGGAAGGGTTTAGGTAAGGGAAATAGGAATTCTGGAAACTATGGGCAGTCCTGGCTCCTCAGTCAGCAAAAGATGGAAGGCTATGAACTACCCCCATCCCCTGCCTTCCAGGAGGAACAAGCTAAACACCTCTTTCCTCTGAAGCATCTGCAAGCTTAACTTTCCCAACTTCTCCAGTGCTCACTTGTGTGCCCAAGACCTTTTGGCCTTTCCACCAACACATAGTATAAATAGATCTACAGTGTAATATTTACATATTTGGGTTTTTAAGTTACCATACAAAATAACGAACTTGTTATAACACCTTTGTACACACATATAATTATCTGTTGCTCACAGCATCACGTCATCCTCTCTGTTACCCTGCCCGCTCCCACTGGTTCCTTTCCTCTCACAGACTAGTTCCTCTGTTTTCATGTCGTAGATGTCACGTAGAAACTGGTAGCAAGGTAGCTGATAGATAGTTCTGAATGTTAGAGAAACACATGGGGATGTCTGTCTTTTGAGTGTGTCCTACCTGGAATATCTATGTTTTAAGCAATTTGTGCAAATTTCCACCCAGCTCCACCGGCTTCATCCTGGACGGTTTCCCGCGGTACCCGGAGGAGGCCCAGTTTCTAGGAGAGCGTGGCTTTTTCCCAGATGCCACTGTTGTAATACAAGTAGAAGATCAAGACATCTTTGACAGGCTCCTTCCGGCACAAGTTCAGAAGTGGAAAGCGAAACAGCGCAAGAAATCAGAACGGAAAAAACTCATCAAAGACTTGAAGACAAAAATCAGGGTACATATCCAATACAAATACATGGGAATACGATTCTCTTTCCAAACTCGTGGTGTCCAGGCCTTCCTCCATCAGGCACAGGAGCAGGCTGAAGGCCACGGGGGAGGCAGCAAGTGCCGTAGAGAGCTGGAAGGCGGCGGATCCTGGCAGGCGGTGCCCGAGCTCCCACCCACCACTGCGCCTATCCCGATGTGGGGGTCTTTGGGTTCACACCAGCGCTCTCCTGCTGACCCACCAGTGGTTTCCTGGGTTGGTCTCTGTACTCCAGCTCACCCTTCCAGCCGCTCGCAGGCCAGTCTGTCTGAATCAAGTCATACCATGAGGGTCTGGATGTCCAATCCTGTCCCATACCCATTTCCCAATGGTATTGTTTTGACTGCGGTAAATGTAAGCCCTTCGCTGCAGCAGCCGCACCAGCCGCTTCCGGATTTCCTCCTAGGGAATGCCCTGAGTGACATCGCAGAGATCCCTCAGGGTTCCTGTTAGCTCACCCTTAAGTCGGTGGCACTGCCTGCCTGACTTGATATTGTATTTTGTGAAGAATGCCCAAGGTAGTGCCCGCTTCTGGCAGGCACACTATAGTTAGTTAAACTTCAGGGAGTCCTGAGCCAACCAGCACCAAAACCGCGAGGGCATGTGGACAGATTCACTGTGTTAGGTTGGAGGGCCCTGAAAACAGGGCATGGTCATCCTCCCTCCCTCTGGCCATATCCAACAGGCATGTGCTTTCCTTAGAGGTGCAGCTGTGTTTTTAAAAAGGCGTCTTCACGGTAAAGAAAAGAGATTTCTGTGAACTCCAATGCCACCCCCATCCCAAAGAAGCAATGTACAATACGTCTGAAGAAGGAGCTCAAGGCTAGAGTGAGCGAGCCTGTGGGGGTGTTTACCCCTTGAGAGGGAGATAGCCCAGAAGGACATGAATGTATTTTGACAATCGCCTCCGCTTGTTTTCCTGGAGAGTGTCGGTACCCTTCTTCCACGTATTAGCCCCAGCTGGAGAAGGTCCAGCGATACCTAACGAGTGACTTTATCATTTTTTGTTGTTGTTGTTGTAAACTTGTAAATGTTTCTTTGACAGGACGATATGGTTGCTAAGAGAAGAGCTGAACTTATCTCAGAGAGGGACAGAAAGAGGAGAGGGGACGTAAGTAGACTTTTTTTTTAAAAGCATAACACTATGATCTCAACAGTTGAAAAACACAGAAGGATGTGTTTCAAAAGTCTACAAAAACTAACAGTTCACAGAGGAGTAGTGAGACGACACGTACTTTTGATTCTTTTATTTTTGTCATGGTATATGCTATTTTAAATTACCTTTTAATTAACCTTATAATCAAAATGCTGTTTTGTTTTGTTTTGTTTTGGGACAGTCTCTCTGTGTCTCCCTGGCTGTCTTGTAGCTTCCTATGTAGAAGAGGCTAGACTTGAACTCACAGAAATCCTCCTGCCTCTGCCTCCTAAGTTTGGTGATTAAAAGCATATGCCTCCACACCTGGCATGAGCCAGGTGTGAAACCACTAAAAACCCTGAAGTATTCTCGTACAAAATACACAGTGCGTTTTCATCTTTGGGATTTTCATATCGTTTTCACACTTCCAGCTACCACCACAGAGACAGACCAAAGGCACAGGAGTGGGGATAGATGGAGCCTATAAGGCTGACCTGGAACTGAAACATTGGTTGTCCCAGGATATGAAATGAGAGGAGAGTCTGAATCATCGCAGTCAGACAATGGGGACCGAGGGTTTTGTTTTATAAGGGAACAGTTATTCGCACATTAACCTAGCTGACCCCGGTGCAGCTAAACTACTTAAGAGTTATACACAGTGTTAGGGTTTGAGTGTGAAGTGTCCCCCACAGGCTCGTGTATTTGAATGCTTGCACCCCAGCTGGGTCATTTTGTGGCTATTGTGAAGGGTGTTGTTTCTCTGATTTCTTTCCCAGCCCTTTTATCATCTGTGTACAGGAGGACTACTAATTTTTTTTTTTTTAGTTAATCTTGTATCCTGCTACATTACTGAAAGTGTTTATGATTCATAGAAGTTCCTTGGTAGACTCTTTGGGATTGCTTATGTAAACTATCATATCATCAGCAAACAGTGAGAGTTTGACTTCTTTTCTGATTTGTATCCCCTTGATTTACTTTTGTATCTTATTGCTCTAGCTAGGACCTCAAAAACTATATTGACTAGATATGAAGAGAGTGGACAACCTTGTCTTGTTCCTGATTTCAGTAGAATCGCTGGGAGTTTCTCTCCATTTAGTTTGATGTTGGCTATTCACTTGCTGTATATTGCCTTTATTATGTTTAGTTATGTTCCTTGTATCCCTTCTCTCTCCAAGACCTTTATCATGAAGGGATGTTGTATTTTGTCAAAAGCTTTTTCAGCATCTAATGAGATGATCATGTGTTTTTTATTTTTCAGTTTGTTCATATGGTGGGTTATGTTGACAGATTTTCATATGTTGAACCATCCCTGCATCTCTGGGATGAAGCTGACTTGGTCATGGTGGATGATGGTTCTGATGCGTTCTTGGATTCTATTTGCCTGTATTTTATTTAATATTTTTGCATCAATGTTCACGAGTGAGATTGGTCTGTAATTCTCTTTCTTAGTAATGTCTCTCTGTGGTTTGGGTATCAGGGTAATTGTAGCCTCATAAAAAGAGTTTGGCAATGTTCCTGCTGTTTGTATTGTGTGGAATAATTTTAGGAGTATTGGTATTAGTTCTTCTTTGAAAATCTTATAGAATTATGAGCTGAAACCATCTGGCCCTGGGCTTTTTTTTTTGGTTGGGAGACTTTTGATGACTGTTTCTATTTCTTCAGCAGTTACAGGTCTGTTTAATTTGCTTGTCTGGTCTTGATTTAATTTTGGTAAGTGATATTTATCCAGAAAGTTGTCCATTTATTTAAGGGAATTTTTCATTTCCTCTTTAAGAGTTTCAGGCATTCTCTTGAAGTTATTTTTTTAAGTCATTTTCTTCTGCTTCATCTATATTTGGTTGTTCAGGTCTTGCTGTTGTAGGGTCTTTAGGTTTTACTGGTATTGTGCTGCTCTTTGTGGTGTAGCGTGTGTTCTTACCTTGTCTACTCATCTTTTCCTCTAATAGGTGTGGTTGGGGCTGTCTGAGATTCTGTTGAATAATCTTCTAGGTGCCAGTGACTCCAAAGCTCAGATGGTTTTCCTCATGGTACAGTCAGTGTCACAGTTCTAGTTACCCCATCGGTTATTCCGTGTTCCTGGAGATGGCACAGTGCTCCTGTGCTTTGGTCTGCTCCCTTGGAGTTTGCTGTCTCAGGCCTTCTTTGACCTAGGTTACCGGCTTTGACCTGTTTATATAAATCCTGGTCTGGACCCCCTCCTGCGGAAGTCTTTGGCTTGGAGATGGTCCTTCAAAGGTTTCTGGCTCTGGTCTACTGCCTCGGAGTTCCCAGGCTCAGGTGCATCCAGAACCACAGAGGACCTGGCTCAGGCTTACTCCCTCAGAGGTTCCAGACTCATGCTTAGACCCACAGAGGTCCCAGGTTCCTGCCTATTCCCTTTGATGTCCCAGACCAATGTCCCGACCCACAGAGGTCCTGGCTCAGGCCTACTCCCTCTGAGGTCCCAGACTCATGTCTGGCCCTGCAGAGTTCTCTGGTTCTTGCCTACTCCCTTGGAGGTCCCAGATTCATGCCCAAACTGGCAAAGGTCCTGGCTCAAGCCCTAGTTCCTGAAAAGTCCTAGACTCACACCCAGAACCACAGGGGTCTTGGCTTTGGTCTACTCCCTTGAAGATCCCAGATTCACATCTGAACCCTCAGTGGTCTCTGGCTGTGGCTCACTCACTCAGCAGTTACTCCCCTGTACCTGTTCCTGTGAAGTCTGCTGTCTCTGGACCAGGTCTCTGGCTCAGTCCTGGTCTGCCAGTGTCCTGGGACTGAGTTGGCTCCCGAGACTGGATTGGCTCCTGGCTTCTGCTCCTGTGGAGCTTGCTTCCTCAGGCCCTCTCTATCCTAGGTAGCTGATTCAGTCCCACTCCTGATACGGGAAGAAATTTAAACACATTTACAGCTTTTAGGGCAATTCTATAGAAAAACATATAACACTGATGTTTAAAATGAAATATAGCTATGACTGAGGAACAACTCAGTCTTAGAGTATCTGATTGGCATGTACCAGCCTCAGTTCAATTCCAAGAACAACAAAAGAACTTGCTTAGCCAATGTCAGGCCATAAGGTTACTCTCTAATACCACAGGGAGAAACTCTCTCTCTCTCTCTCTCTCTCTCTCTCTCTCTCTCTCTCTCTCTCTCTCTCACACACACACACACACACACACACACACACACACACACACACACACACACACAACTGTAACAAGCCATTCAATTGTTTTTTATTTTAATTTGTCCTGTTGTCATAAAACACCATGACCAAAAGCACTCTGGGGAGGAAAGGGTTTATTTCCTTATCTTAGAGCTTGTAGTTCATCATTCAGAGAAGACAGCAGGGGATGAGAGACAAAGACAAGAGATAGAGGATGAGGGAGAAGGGGAAGGGAACAGGGAGAGGAGAAAGGGTATTGTCCGGAAGGGACCAAGAACTGCCTGTGGGTGGAGAGGAGGCAGACGTGGCCCACAGGCACAAGGCAGTTTATAAAGGGAAAAGAGGAAAGCCTGTGTTAGGATGAGGTGTTTAATTTTTATTGGAGATGTTAATTCAGGCACCAGAAGGGGACTTTTGGTTGCTGGGCCTTCAATACTTTGATAGCTGGACCTTTTTGGCCAGCCTCAGGAATGAGTCTAGAATAAGAAAGAGTCCAAATAAGGGACTAGACTGGGTGGCTAGCTTTAGGGATGTAATCTATAGCTGACAAGGGTGAGGGAAAGGGGAAGGGCAAGGCCTGCCAGAGTCATATTTTCATGCTCCAGTCGGCCAGGGTCCCTTCAGGAGTCAGTTCTCATTCCTCTATGTGGGTCGATGACTTTCCATGTATTAACTCAACCAGTGCTCCCCCAAATCCTGTGAGCTATGTTGTTCCCATTTATAGATAAGGAAACTGATATTCTTCAAGTTGGCAATGCAGCTTGTATATTTTGTCATCTGTGAGCTGCATTAAATATTATTTCTAAAAACTATAAAGAAAAACATACTAGTATCTTATCTGCTTGTGGGACCATCACAGTGTCAGAATCTTAATGGCATTAAGTTTCTGAGTGCCCGTCATTACATTCTTACTGTCTCACAGACCAATATCAAGTTATTACAAAATACTCTCAGTTATTGGTCAGCAGTGTCCCCTGACACCAGTTTCCCATAGAGACGAAAGGGACCATCTCTTCCTTAGAGCGCTTTCCGAGATGATGACGATTTCAGTGACGATGAGCCTGATGAAGAGGAGGATATCGAAAACATCCTGGAAGAAGAGTTCCCGAAAGACGAGGAGGAGATGAGTGAGGAGGATGAGGAGCAGGAAGGAGAAGCTGTGGAGCGCCTGCGAAGCGAGATGGGAGAAAAGTTTGAAACCGAAATGAATAATCTGCAAATGATACAGGTTATGGCCTTCCCTTCACCACCACAAAAATACAGGTTAAGCCATCCCTTTGCCACCACAAATAATACAGGTTATGGTCGTCCCTTCATCATTGCTTAACAAGTGACAGTTTGAGAATGCAAGGAGGGTAGTTACGCTCAGTGTCTTGTTGTCAGAGTTTCTTAACAATTCCCACAATTGTTAAGTCCCAAAGAAATCACACGGAGGTCTACTTAGTTATAAACTGATTGGCCCATTAGCTCAGTCTTCTTACTAGTTCTTATAACTTATATAGCCCATTATTAGCCCATTATTCTTATCTATGTTAGCCATGTGGTTCAGTACCTTATTCAGCGGGGCAGTCACATCTTGCTTCTTCTGTGGTCAGGTCACAACTGCCGAGAGAGCTTTCCTCTTCCCAGAATTCTCCTGTTCTCATTGACCTGCCTCTACTTCCTGTCTGGTTGTCCCACCTATACTTCCTTCCTAGCTACTGGCTAATCAGCATTTGTTTAAAATATAATTGACAGAGTACAGACCATAATCCCATACCATTTACCCTCTTTAAAAAAAAAAAACCAAGAACTCTAAATCTAATATCCTTTGTTTAGCTTTTCTACTGACCATTAGCCATAACAACTTGTAACCAACATTCTAAACAAAGGAAAACATCCATAAACTTATTTTTTTGAATGTGGGAATAGTTCTCCAGGTTACTTCCTGCTGGTTGGGGGCACTGATAATCTTATGGCTTTATATGGATATAGTTTCCCCACGTTGGGCATCATTTGGTGTAAGGGAGCAGGCCGCTTGTTTGTCCCAGCTGCCCAGCTAGCTTACACCTGAAATAACCACACACAAACACACACACACACACAAAAACTGTATTAATTAAAACACTGCTTGGCCATTAGCTCTAACTTCTTTTTTTTTAAGATTTATTTATTTATTATGTATACAACATTCTGCTTCCATGTATACCCACACACCAGAAAAGGGCACCAGATCTTATTACAGATGGTTGTGAGCCATCATGTGGTTGCTGGGAATTGAACTCACGACCTCTGGAAGAGTGGTTAAGACCACTGAGCCATCTCTCCAGCCCTAGCTCTAACTTCTTAAAAAGAAAGGGAAGTGTTGTGGGACCATGGTCTGTATTCTTTCCATTATATTTTAAATAAATGCTGATCGGCCAGTAGCCAGGCAGGAATTATAGGTGGGACAACCAGACAGGAAGTAGAGGCAGATCAATGAGAACAGGAGAATTCTGGGAAAAGGGCACAGTCCTGGCCCAAACCACAGAAGAAGCAAGATGTGACTGCCTCGCTGAAAAAGGTACTGAGCCGCATGGCTAACACAGATAAGAATAATGGATTAATATATGTTTTAAGAGTTAATAAGAAGCCTGAGCTAATGGGCCAATCAGTTTATAGTTAATGTAGACCTCTGTGTGATTTCTTTGGGACTTAATGATTACAGGAACTGGGCAGGACAGAAAACTCAGTCAATGGTGTCTTAGTTTTTGTGATATTCCAAAAGAATATTTCAGGGCAGCAGGCCCTTTATCACAGACCAAGAGCAGCATGGACGCCTCCCAGGTCAAGATGGGTTTATCTCCCTACAGACAGCCCCTTGTAAAGCTAAAAGATACCTGCCTTACATGATTGTGTAGTCACCAGCTGTGTATATGCTGTAACAGAAACACTAAATAAATCAGGCTTCATCGTTTCTCTTACCAGGAAGAATTTGAGAAGGTTCTGGTACCAATAATTACAGTTAATGGAGCTAGGAAACTTAACATTGTGCAATATGTATTGAACTCGAAATTGAAGCCGCTCGTGGAAAACCGTGCAAGCATTTTTGAGAAGTGTTATCCAGTGTCCCCACACCTTGCTCATAAAATGCTGACCTTCACCTACAAATACATAAGCTCATTTGGCTACTGGGACCCTGTAAAGGTAACGTCAGACAATTCATCTGAAAACCATCATGTTTGTTTTTTTTAAGTTGTTTAGGAAGACATAGTCATTTTGAAAAGTTGTAAATATTGTATAATGCAGCTATAAAAATTTGAGGGGGGGATAAAATGGAGTAATTTAACTTTCATTTTTCCTTTTGATTTAAAACATACATAACATGGAACTAGCACTCTGCGCCCCTGCCCCAAAAGTCTGTATCCCTAGCATTTACTCCCAGTCAGCCAGGAATTGCATTCCAGTCTAAGAAAGAAGGCCAATGTTTATGATACTATTGACGAATCACTATTTTGCATGCCTCTCAAAGGGAAGCAGTGTGACTGTCTTGGTGAAGAGACACTATGACCACCACAACACTCATAAGGGAAAGATTTAATTGGGGCTGACTTACAGTTCAGACATGGTGCTGGAGAAGGAGCTGAGGTCTGCAGGCAGCAGAAGGAGTCTGTGTCACACTGGGCATAGCTTGGGCACAGGAGACCTCAAAGCCTACCCTCAATACTGACACACTTCCCCCAACAAGATCACACCTACTCAAACAAAGCCACACTTCCTATGAGGGCCATTTTCTTTTAAAGCACCACAGGGAGTAAACTATTTTACACCTACTCTGCCATATTCAGGAAGGATGGTGCTTGACTCTCTGATGCTGTAAAAAGATCTTCAGCACTAACGTCAGTTAGTTATCCACTCTTCCTACCCCATTCCATACCCACGCCTTAGGCTGTCTTTGGTGGGTGTTTCACATTTTGTGGCTGTTGTCAATGGCATGATGGGATTTTGTCCATACAAACATGCGGAAGAACTCTGTCTGAATTAAAAGATAACCTGGCAGAACCACCTGTATTGTCCACTTCCAATACTGCAGTAAAACTTGAGATAGGGCAGGTTAACCAATGTAATTTATTTTCTAGTAGTTCTAAAGGTCTCCCATCCAAGTACTAACCAGGCCCAATTCTGCTTAGTTTCAAGATCAGGCACACTCAGGGTGGTATTGGCATAGCCCAATAGTTGTAAAGGTTACAAATGTTTCTAAAGGATTTCATCAAGGTGTTGACAGGTGGTCTTTCCTGCCTTGTCTAGCAGTTGACTGCCTTCTCATAGTGTCCTCATGTGGGGCTTTTTCTGTGTATGCTGATTCGTGTTTCTGCCTCCTGTTATAAGACCCCCCCATCCTATTGATTATCCTTTTGCCGTCATTTGACCTTACTTGCCCCCATTAAGGTCTTATCTCCACATGCATTCACATTGGCAATAAGAGTTTCAAGATAAGTGGATTGTATGGGAGAGGGGCAATGCAATTCACAATACCATTTTAGAAGTGGGTCTGTTTGTCAGGATAAATGAGTTTGTGAATGAGTATAACAATGTCATACCCTCGGTCAGAAACAGTCAATAAAGCATGAGTCATTATGTAGGAAGTAGAACTGTAATTGTCATAAACTAAAACCAACTAGAAACATTACATGGACTAGATACGATATGAAATAACTTGGACTTTGTATACAGTTGCTTTGTTAATATTTATAATTAGAGGTTTTCTTATTATGTAATAAAGATTATGTAATAAAGATTAAAAATTTTCAGATATATTGAAGGAAATGCTTTATAAATTAAATCTAACTTGTGAATCTAATCCTATTACAGCTAAGTGAAGGAGAGACAATCAAGCCTGTTGAGAATGCAGAGAACCCTCTTAACCCTGTCATCCACCGTCAGTATATTTATTTTTTATCTAGTAAACAAACCAAAGAAAAATTTATGATGAACCCAATCAAATACATCCGGCAACCCAAACCCAAAGCTTCTATGCCTGTCAGAATTATGATTGTGGGGCCTCCCAAGTCAGGGAAAACCACAGGTGAGTATGTCTGTCTTTGTTCCTCAAGCATCAAGGGAGCTCTGAAGCCCAGCACCAAGTCCCCAGGAGCCAGCCATAAAGTCCAGGGGTTTCCATGGTGCCTGTGCTAATTTGCCTCCCCACCAACAATGTAGAAAAAGATTCCTTTTTCTCTATCTCTTTACTAGAATTTATTTTTTTAAATAATAATTATTAAGGCTGGATTGAGACAAGTTCTCAATATAAAAATTACTAGTTACAAATATTTTATGGCAGACTCTTACTTCTATGTCATCAAGGATGTTGGTCCGTAATTTTTATTTTGTTATATTTTCTTGTTTTTATTAGGTTTAGTACAGGGCAATATTAGCTTCACGCAATGAATTTATAAGGATTCTTTCTCTTTTCATTTGAGGAAATACTTTGAGAATAACTTGCATCAACTATTTTTTAAAGTTTAAAATAATTTTAACCATGGATCCAGTACTGGGCTTTTCTTCTTTGGAGATTTTCTATTACTGCTCCAGTCCCATTCTTGGTTGTTGATTTACTTTGGTTTTCCATTGCCTCTTGATTAAAATTTGGTAGTTTATGTGTCCAGAAATCATCCATTTTCTAACTCACTGATGTATGCAGGGGCCTTTGGAATCTCTGTGACCAGCAGAGAGGTGATCCGTGGGAGGCAAGAAGGTAGCTCAGCTCAACACAACAGTAGCTGGTGTTAGTTCAAACTTCTGGAGTCTGGCCCCAAGTAGTCTGTTTTAGCTATAGTTAACCACAGCACAATTTGGTGAAAACTTATTGTGGTGATAATTAACTCAATACTGTTTGCACAACAAAGACTGCAGAGATCTCTTTGAGGAACAAAGTAAGCAAATACAGATCAGGCTTGACTGGAATGAAACTCATTGTAAAGTCCATGAAGGTGGGTTCTAAAGATGGACTTGAATAAGACAAGCTTATGATAAGGGTCTGGGGGAGGATCCCGTGTGGTCTCCAGCCACACAGATAGTGTAAAAGTCACCAGGCTATTAACGGCATCTGCTCCCAGCTTCTGGTCAGATAGCAGGTTATACAAGGAATGACCCTGTGTGTTTAACATTCAGGGTTCCCTAGTGCTTATCTGTGACCTAAAGACCTCCATGCCCCCTACGAACATACAGATTTTTATATTTTTGTTTTGTTTTGTTTTGTTTTGTTTTTCGAGACAGGGTTTCTCTGTGGTTTTGGAGCCTGTCCTGGAACTAGCTCTGTAGACCAGGCTGGTCTCGCACTCACAAAGATCCGCCTGCCTCCGCCTCCCGAGTGCTGGGATTAAAGGCGTGCGCCACCACCGCCCGGCTATACAGATTTTTAAAATGCTCCCTAATTATCCTATGAATTACAGAGGATCTGTTGGAGTATCCAGCTTCATCCCATCTTCTGCTTGCTTTAGCTAAGGGTTTGTCCTTTTTTTTTATCTTCTGGAAGGACTGACTCTTTGTTTCACTAATGCTGTGTGCTGTTTAGTTTCTGTTTTGTTATTTCTTTCCATCTGCTGGTTATGGCTTTAGTTTATTCTTAGTTTTTTAAGAGTGAGATACACATTAGGTTTCTCCATTGATATCTCTGGCTTTAAAGAGTAAACACTGTAGTAGGAGGCTGCTCGTTCGTGTCCAGCCACTTAGACCTGAAATAATCACACAGAAACTATATTATTTAAACCACTGCTTGGACAATCACTTAAGTATATTGCTAGCCAGCTCTTACATCTAGAATTAACCTATTTATATTATTTTATATTTTACCATGAAGCTCGTGACCTACTGGCAAGGTTCTAGCTGGCAGCTTGCGTCTTTTTTCTCCTTTTTTCTCCAAGCATTCAGTTTAGTTTTCCCCACTTAGCTCTATTCTGCCCTACACAGGCCAATGCAGCTTCTTTATTCATTAACCAATAAAAGCAACACATATACAGAAGGATTTTCCACATCAAAACACTCATAGCTACAAGTTTTCCTTATGGTACTGATTTTTTATGGTTTTGGTTTTTTGTTTCCATTTCTCACAGGTCCTGGTGGTTACGTTTCCATTTTCATGTGACTCTACAATCTTTTCCTGTTTCCCTTTTCTCTCTTTCAGTGGTACCATTTTCATTAGAAACATGGCTGATCTCCAAGTGTTTGTATAATTCATGTAGCCATTCTTCCTGTGATTTCTAATGTTTCTTTCTTTCTGACCTGAGACACTGGGAGTTATCTCAGTTTGCAATTGTTAGGAGTTACTTTGCAGCCTCATGCACAATCTATTTTGGAAAAACTTCCATGTGCTAAAAAAGAATATATACTATGCCTCAGTTGGTGTCTGTTACACACATCTGCCTTGTAGCAGCGATTCTCAACCTGTGGGTTGCAAGCCCATTGGGGAGCACATATCAGATATTTACATTATATATTTCATAACAGTAGCAAAATTACAGTTATAAAGTAGCAACAAAAAATAATTTTATGGTTGGGGGTTGTCTTGGGGTTTCTATTGCTGTGAAGAGACACTATAACCACAGCAGCTCTTATAAAGGAAATCATTTAATTGGGACTTCCTTACAGTTTCAGAAGTTTTGTTCATTGTCATCGTTGTGGGACACATGACAGCATGCACGCAGACATGGTGCTGGAGTAGAAGCTGAGAGTTCTACTTCTTGATCTGCAGGCAGCAGGCAGAAAACTGACTTGAGCTTCTGAGACCTCAAAGGCTGCTCCCACCATGACACACTTCCTCCAGCAAGGCCATGCCTACTCCAACAAAACCACACCTCCAAATAGAGTCACTTCACATGGGGCCACACAACATGAGGAACTGTATTAAAGGGTCACAGCATTAGGAAGGTTGAGAACCACTGATCTACAGAATACTGTAACCCTGGTGTTGTTTTGTTGACTTTTGCTGACAGTGAGCTACTGAAGTGACCCACTATTGTTGCACTGGGCCCATCTTTCTCTTTGTGTCCCATAGCGTTGACTTATGGAAGTGGGTGCTCTGAGGTAATGCACATCATTGTATCTTCCTGATGGATGGTTCCCTGTTAGTCACTTTATTATCACTGTGTCAAATACTTGGCATACCCCACACCCCAAACATTCAGTAATTTCCCAAAACAGTGCCAGCAGCTGGTGACCAAATGTTCAATACACAAGTCTATTGGTGACATTTCACATTCAAATCACATTAGTCCTTTTATTTTTTTTAAAAAAAATAGCTATTTGAGAATTTAATGTAGTGTGTGTTGGTCACATTCAGATCCACTACCCACCAACTTAGTGCTGTTGTGGGTTATCCACCAGAGAAGACTATTCTGACATAGGTTTAAGCCAGTAGAAAGTCTTTATTAGCCAGTCTTTGTTTTCATTTTGGCTGGTGGGGATGTCTATGTGCTGAATTTTAGGGCCTGAATGGCTCTTCCATTGTGGAGTCAGTTGAGCTAAGATCTGAGGCCTATTACACTAAATAACATTCTTTTTATCAATATGACATAACCGTTGTGTCTTCTAACTAATTTGGCTTGAGTTCTGTTTGGTCAGATATGAATATAGTTATTCTTGCTTGCTTTCAGAATTCTTTGCTTAGAATATTATTTTCTATCCTTTCACTTTCCATCTAAGTATACCTTGGCTGAGTTTCTTGCAGGCAGCAAACTGTTAGGACTTACTTGTTTTAAGTCCAGTCAGTAAACCTATGCCTTTGAAAGGCATGTGGTACTTCTACCCTGCTTTGTTTCCATTCTAGTTGTTTAAAATAATCTGTATCCATTTCTGCCTTATTTGTGCTAGAGTTGGGATGCTTTCCTGAATTGGCAGTGTTTGATTTGTTCCTAATTCTCAGTTGTTTATCTACTCTTCATGTGAAATTGGTTCTTTCTTGCCCCTGAGAATCTTGCTCATCTCATCCAATTCCTCTCCAGTATCAGGGACTCCCTTATTCATGCTTGTCTTAGGAGGTCTTTATTTCTCTTTCTATTGTGAAGGATGATTTGGTTGGGTAAAATAATCTATTTTCTTTCAAGGTGTGAAGTTCCTCACTGAAACCCTCCTGGCCTTTAGAGTTTCTTCAGAGAAACATTTATGTGTGACTTGACGTTTCTCTCATAAAGATTTTAATATTCTTTCTTTGTTCTGTACTTGAATTATAATGCTTAATTATAATTTTTGTTCTGATTATGTCTAGTTGGGATTCTGTCTTCTATAATTAGCCATCTCTGTCTTTCCCAAGACTTGACAAATTTCCCATCATTATTTCACTGATGGGTTTTCTGGGCCTGTACTACCCCTTTGTCTGTACTGATTAAACTCTTTAAATGGCCCTTTGATAGTGTCCTACAGATCTGAAGTGTCTTGTCTAGTCTTTCTTAATTTTCTTTATTGTTCTCTGAATATAATAATTCACCAATGTCAGTTTTCAAACTTTGGTGCTCTTCCACTTAAGCTGATGCTTTCAGTCATTTCTTTTAAATTTGATTTATTGAGATTTGCATTTCCAAGATTTCCAATTATCATTTTCTAGCATATTTCTCTCTCTCTAATGAATTTATCTTTCATCTTCTTTGTTGTCTTCCTTAATTCACCCATTTATTGGTATCCTTTTTAATTTATTGATGTTTTAAACATCATTCTTTTACATTCTTTGTCCTGGGGTTGGAGGAGTTGCCTCAATGGATAAAGTGCCTACCTTGCAGGCACGGGACTTGAGATCAAGCTCCAGAACCCATCTGAAAAATTAGATGTGATGGTGTACATTTTGTAATCACAGCATAGAGAGGCAGAGACAGACAGAACCCCAAGGCTCCCTGGCCAAGCAGTCTAGCCTACTTGGAAAGGCCTGGGCCAGTGAAAGATCCTGCCTCAAAAGACACACATGCACATGCACACACACATGCATACACACACATAAGGTGGGGAGGAAGAGAGAGAGAGAGAGAGAGAGAGAGAGAGAGAGAGAGAGAAAAGAATGACACGAAACACATGAGATCCTCTGACCTTTACACACACACACACATGCTCATGCACTTGTACATATATTTCTGTATATACATACAGAGAGACACACACACAAATAAATAGTAAATAAATTTAATTTTTTTAAAATTTAGTTTTCTAAGTTTTAATTTTCTTAACATGACAAAAGAGTTGTATTCTAAATGTTTACAAGACAATGGTATTTACCGAGCACAACAGAATGTACTCATCTGAAATAAAATTCCATCCCAGGGCTAAAAACATAGACAACAATCTGACTTCTCACCTCTCTGTTGAAATGGAAGGTAGCTTTTAACACTATGCCTAATTTTGAAAGCACATTTAGTTTTAGAATTTGAGCACATTTGGTTCCAGAGTTTGTAGGAAAACTGAGGTTCAGAATCTGGGATTTCACCTGTTTCTTGGGAATAGTCACCGTAAACTCCTCTCTCAGCCAATGACCTCTACATCTCTAGTCAATGGCCTCTATCTCTCTACTCAGTGACCTCTATCTCTATTCAATGACCTCCATCTCTCTATTCAATGACCTCTATCTCCCTATTCAATGACCTCTATCTGTTCTATTCATAGTGGGCTTTGGTTCCTCTAAGCTATAAAGTTAGAATTCAATTTTTCATGCCACTAAAACATCAAATAAACTCACAGGAAAAATTCTTTCTCCTCTTATGTAATAAGGAGGCTGCTTGTTTCCCCGTCACCCAGACTCCTGAAATAATCACACAGAAACTGTATTAATTAAATCACTGCTTGACCTATTAGCTCTAACTTCTTATTGGCTAACTTTTACATTTTAATTTAACCCATTTCCATTATTTTATATTTTACCATGGGGCTTGTGGCCTACCCACAAGGTTCCAGCATGTCTGTCTCTGGCAGCGGCTCCATGGCTTCTTCATGACTCCACCTTCTTCCTCCCAGCATTCAGTTTACCCCCACCCCCAGTTCTGCTCTACCCTATCACAGGCCCAAAACAGCTTCTTTCTTAACCAATGGTATTCACTGCCTACAGAGGGGAATTCCACATCACTCCGAAGCTATAAACCTGTATTAAGGTGTAAAGTAGGGGTCTAGAGATGGCTCAGTGGTTAAGAGCACTGATTGCCCTTCTAGAGGACCTGGGTTCAATTCTAGACACACACATGGCAGCTCACAGTCATCTACAACTCCAATCCCAGGGCATCTGAAACCTTTTTTTTTTACCTCTATAGGTGCTGCACACACATGGTACAACAACACACACACACACACACACACACACACACACACACACACACACAGGCAAAGCACCCATACATGTAAAATAAATAAAAATTAAGTAAAACAAAATGTAAAGTATGCCTGTGTGATTTTTAAAAACTATTTCCTAGAAGGTTATTGAGACCCATGATCGGTTAGGGATTGATATCTTCATTGCAGTGTGTAGTGGACTGGGGAATGGTGTAAGCCAGTCAAGTAGGCTTGTTACATTGGTTTTTATTTATTTATTTTATGTATATATGAATGCTCTATCTGCATGTATGACTTTATGACAGAAGAGGGCACTAGACCTCATTACAGATGATTGTGAGCCATCGTGTGGTTGCTGGGAATTGAACTCAGGACCTCTGGAAGAGCGGTCAGTGCTCTTAACCTCTGAGCCATCTCTACTGCCCCCAGATTGTTACATTGTTTTCTTTGGCAGCATACTAAATACCAATGCACACAGCATTCCCATGGTGCTTCGCCTCCTTTGCTGCATTGTGCAGAAACAGTAAGCTGCTTAAGTATTGGTTTGATTATAAAAAAAGAAGGAGGAGGAGGAGGAGGAGGAGGAGGAGGAGGAGGAGGAGGAGGAGGAGGAGGAGGAG